CTGATGTCCAGGACACAGTGAAAGCATGTGCTTAGGGTTCAGCAGGATAGCAGAATAACAAACTGCTGTCATGTTCTGGGGGAGCAGGGCATAAAGTACAGAGAGGAGATGGAGAGTAGTCAATGGGACATTTTAATATGCTTGTTTAACACCATGATATTTATTATTTTGTAGAGACATTTGTGATTGTTTAGTTGTTTTTTTTTTATCATATTTATGTATAAGGTTGACTTTTTAAAAAAATAAATAAGCCAAAAATTGTTTTTGAATGCCTCTGTCATCTTTTGCAAAGAAAATATTTAAAAAAATTAAAAACCCAATTATTTAGGTCTGACAAGGTATAAAAGTGGCATTGAGACATTTAAAGTGAGTTTAGATCTCTCAGTGGTGAAATAATTTAGAAAAGAGATACAATGCATTTGACTGTGTTAGACTATTACTCTGTAAATCATCTTTGTCTTTCAACCCTTGTTTTTTTTTTTTTTTATAAACCATTTCTTCATGCATACCCTATAGTACAACTGAGCACTGTTTGAGGGTCAAGATTATGATGCTCAGATATCCCTTCCCTGCCCTTTTATTTTATTTCAGGTGTAGGAAACCCTTTATACTGTCTTATTCCATGTTTAAAGCCCTAATACTGTGTGTTTTTAATCTGAAGGATGATACTCAAAATATACTTTGTATATTTCCTACTTGATTACAATTTTTTATTGTCCAAAAGTTTTTATGTTTTACATGTCACAGTGAATACTTCTCTCCTTTGCCATAGTTCTCTTAATGTTTAGACAGGAAACAAGAATACGCATACAACTCAGATTTCTACAGATATTTATGCATGACTGTATGAATGGGACATCTTTCAATTAAAATGTTAAAATAGTGGGTTTGGTTTTTTTTAATTTTATTTTATAGGTTCAGCTTTATATCTCTGGGAAAATACCAGTTTTGAAATAAAGTGAATATATATGTTGTTTAAAACTTAGCTTTAGCTTTTATGTATGATCATTTCATACTTGGATTTTCTTTCCCGATTATTAGTGGCATTTGACATCCTATTTCATTTTTCGTTTTTGGTCTTTATATGGAAAGTGCTGTGTGTAGGGAGCACAGAGTGATGAACTTAGGCAACACAAGGTTATGTTTTTATGGAGTGTAGTCTAGGCTTTCATCATAGAGGGGGTTTTATGTTCTGATCCATCTGATATCCAGTTATGTTTTACAAAAAGGTTCTCATTAGCAGATTACCAAAAGTAAAGATAAGGTAATAACAGATCCCATTTTGAACCCATAGTGAGTACTTCTGGCATGAATTTATAGCCCTCTTCTACCCTTCCAGCCAAAGGTCATTCCAAATGCTCTATGTGGAATTTGTCTGAAGGGTAAGGAGTCCAACAAGAAAGGAAAGGCTGAACCCCTTATACACTGCTCCCAGTGTGATAACAGTGGTAAGTAGAGATGTCTCCTTAAGATTTTAACCTCACCCTGCGTGTTGCCTCCAAAGTTAGGGCTCATAGTTGTCAGCTAGGTGTCCATCAAATAATCAACAAATGGATATGACTTGTTAGACATACATAAAGCCCATGTATCCTCTACATTGTGTTTTGATGTTTCAATGGTAATATTAAGTATGACAGCCATTCGTGGGAACTAATATTGTGTATGCCTTAAGTTAAAAGTTCTATTGTGAAATGCTATTCATGTTGGTTTTGATTCAGGCCACCCTTCTTGCTTGGATATGACCATGGAGCTTGTTTCTATGATTAAGACCTACCCATGGCAATGTATGGAATGTAAGACATGCATTATATGTGGACAGCCCCACCATGAAGAAGAAATGATGTTCTGTGATGTGTGTGACAGAGGTTATCATACTTTTTGTGTGGGCCTTGGTGCTATTCCATCAGGTAAAGATGAAAAACAAAACACATTCTCTTGTGTGATGAAGATCTCCCAGCATTTTTTTAAGGCTACATAAATGCCATAAACATGTTCCAATTATGACCAAGCTATTACTGTCTGTGTCACAGCTACTTGATTTTCATTTTTGGAACCAAAGAACAAATGAGATGGCAGGATGCCTAGGTTAGATTTTGGAAGTTCATTTGAGATGCAGAATGAGCTGGTGTTTTTCTAGGAAAGTTACTACAGTAACAGCACCAGTTTGTTTGGATGCTTTTATTTCTAAAGGTTATCTATTAACAAAGTGACTGCTGTCTTTATATATGCTAAGACATCTTTCTATAAAGTGAGGCAGCATGACAATTCCAGATAATTTTAGAATGGACACAGAATCAAATAGTAAATCACAGCAATTCTATTAAAACATTATACAGGTAATTGTGCAATTTTAAGAACTTAGTTGCATAGTTAACACTGTATAGTACTCTATAAAACTTACATTTCATGGAAATCCTTTAAAAGTAAGCAACTTGAATACATCACTTAAGGTTCTGTAGTAATTCATATCAAGTATGTGGTATAGGTTTTTAAAGTGCCACCGAGAGGGTGCTGTTAGAATAGTGGAGAAAAAGGCCATAAAAAGCCAGATTCATTAAAAAGTTCTACATTAGGAATTGTGTTGTTGAGGTTTTAAAAACATGATGGTATTTTAATTTTAAGAAGGATAATGGTAATTTTTTTAAAGGTACAAATGATTGTTACAGTGCCTTTCCTTATCTTGGCCATGCAATAGTCCACACTTTACTCTTTACACCATGCAATAGTTCACACTGCATTGGTTACACTGATTAAGGGTTGTTTATATTATCTTCCTTGGCTTAAGGAAGTCAGTACTCCCTCCCCACTGAAAAATCCCCCCAGGAGTTATCACTACAGATAGCTCAGGAGTGAGTTTAGATGGTTTGTACTCAATCCTATAAAAATAAAATTCCACTCCATATTAACTAACAATTTTTCTCCTAGGTCGCTGGATTTGTGACTGTTGTCAGCGAGCTCCCCCAACACCCAGGAAAGTGGGCAGAAGGGGGAAAAACAGCAAAGAGGGATAAAATAGTTTTTTGACCCTCATGTTTGGGATATTTGGTGCCAATTTATTTACAATACTTTCTTTTTTATGCCAATAAAGAACTTTTTTGAAATTAACTATGACCTTAAACATCTTCAAGTTGATTTATTTCATTATTACCAACTCCCACCCTTGAAAGAAAGTCACAGAGAAATGGCTCATTTCCCCAGATTTTAATTTCTTAGTGTCACCTTTTCCCACAGATTAGCAGAAAGAGGTAGCAACTTAATTTGAAATATTTCTTCTTGAATCTGAAAAGTTAGTTACCATTTGTTATGACTCGTCCTGACCTGCTTAGGTAGTATCACAGTTACCAGATAACCATAGAGCTCCAATCAGCACAAGCAGAGGAAAGGGCAAACGGCCCAAGATCTCGTACAACTGGATTTGGGATTGACATCAACAGCACATCAATAGTTTGTGAATACTTGCCTGTCAGGAAAGCTTGCTTGGGTTTCAGGTACCATATTCCTACTGCGCAGAGGCTCTGGGAAGAGTGAAGCTGTCATTGCATTTCTGACCTGGCTTTAGTACCTCTTTAAAACTCTAAGTGCTATACTTCATTTAGAATGTCTATAGAATAAATTCTATTCATCAGCCTTTTAACTTCGTCTGCACTAGCACTCAAGTTTAATCTGTTTTATACAGTCTGTTACTGCGATCTTTTTGCTCACCTGACTAACGAAAAATGTATTTAAACACTTTCTTGAGCAGACTCCCTTTTTATAGGAATTTTAATCTCTAAAATACTGTGCTTGCTGCTTTTCCTGCTTGGGGAGTAAATTGAGGTAACAAAACTATGGCTTTATTTTTCCATCCTAGTCTAGAAAAAAGTTAAACAGAATTCCACCAGGTCAAGTAGCAAGGTTCACAGCAAACTGTAATCGCTCTGTGCAGATAAGGGTTTGTGCTGCAGCACAAGTTCAAAGGATCAGAAGAGAATTTCAAGCACCAATTTCAAAATGCTAATCAATATCGTCCAGAGGACTGACTCCTCTTGGGCTGTCTCCTCTGGAGCATAAGCTTGGTTCTGACTTGCTTCTGTTGGGTCAGCGGCATAGGCAGCCTCTCCTGGGTACTGATCCACAGTTCTGTCATAATATACTCTCATCTCAAAGTCACTCTCATGGTGAGACGGGTGTCCATAAATTCCTATCCCGACCGGGCGCTGGAAGTGCGCCGGTATAAAGACCACGTCCTGGCCGCAAGTGACTGACTGTAGCTCATACTCGTCGAAGCTTGGGTGCGGGGTACTGTCGGACACGTACAGGTCCGCATCCCCTCTCAGGCTCTGCATCCTGAGAATGATTTTGCCCTCGTGGTTTAACCGCAAGTAGCTGTAATTCCCGGCTCCTATTTGGCCCTGGACCACGTGCAGAAGGAGCCACTCCTCCGGGACGTCGTCCTCTTCCAAGCATTTTACCAGGGCCACCACCTGGGACGCCAGGATCATCAACAAGGCGCACCTCCAGGGAGCAGCCATCGCTGGGACTCTCAACTCGGGTACTCCTTCATCTGCAGTCGGTGTGCTGAGAAGGCACGGGTGACAGGCTCGACCGGAGGTGCTCGACCACGCAGGCCAAGATGCGTGCACCTGGGTCCCAGGAACCGACGGTGGGGCAGGGGAGCGAGAGATGGGGTGAAGAGTAGAGGACAGCGGAAAGGAACCGAGGAGGCGGGTAGAAAGAGAAGCGGTGAGACGGGTGGAAGCGCAGGCCCCTAGGGGCGTAGGTGTCTGAAGAACAGCTAGGTCGCCCACCCCGGACTCACCGCCACGCCCCGCAGACCACGCAGCACCCGCAGCATCCGGGCTCAACCTGGAACTCACCCCAGCAGGCGGAAGAGAACCCGGGCCCGGAAGTGTGGGACTCCGGAAGCAAGGGCTTTCGGGAAACGACTCAGGTCTATGCAGCCGGAAGTGAAGCAACGCCCGGCTCTCGCGAGTGTAAAGAAGCGCGGCGTTAAGGGTCGGCTTCCCCGTAACCATAGTGACGCGGCAGGGGTCAGTGGCGAGTTCCGGAGAAGTCGGGCTGGACTGCAGGTGAGGGCGTCTGGGATTGCGACTTCGCGTTAACGCCCGTGTCCGGGGCCACGTCTGGCGACAAGCTCCCGTGCGGAGGTGGCCGGGAAGCTCTACGACTTAGGCTCGAGCGGCGCGTGCGAGTGGTGCGGTCCCTGATGGTGCCTCCCAGCCTTCTTGCAGACAGGACCGCGCCTTGGGGCGAGGATGCGCGTCAGCTGCGGCTGTGCACTCGCCGAGCTGTGGGCGGGTCTGCACGGCCAAGAGTGTCCTTCCTGAGCCCTTGTCCCCTCACCCTGCAGCCCGTGCTCCTGTGTGCAGACAGCATCGGGAGGGATACTTTTGGATTTGTCTTAAACCACGACAGAAGGAAAATTTAAATTTTAGCATGAGAACTATTAACAAGTGATTTGGCCCTCTCCAAGTCCATTACAGTTTCTATAACAACACACCATAGACGTAACAGAGTGTCAGAAACAATTGCTCCCCTTTTCCATCGCGCACAAAGTGAGTCCAGGGGCCAGGGCTACACAGACAAACCTTGTCTCAACCAAACCAGCCAACCAAAAGACAACGTCTAAGTATAAAGATAGGATCTTTTGGCACATTTAATATTTTGCTGAATTCTGGTACCTGTGGTATCTATAGCTAATTGTTAGTCTTAGCCTCGGTATCTAGGTCTTTATAGTACCTGAACTGGAGCCCAACTCCTTTCCAAGTTAATGTGAAAAACTTTATCTTTTGCTGTAAGTAAAGATTCAAAGGCATTTTGTGATGCTTCCATTTTCTGTGGGAGCCCATCAGTTATTGATTTGCCTAATATTTTTCCAAACTCAAGAATCAGGTAACATGATTCTACATGTGTAGCTGAGAAACATTTTTAATATTTTATAATGAGAAGGAAACTTTTTTTTCCCCTTAAGAATACACCTGTAGTTGAAACAGTGATGCTTTTTGGATAACAGAATAATCATATGTATCTTTTTTTCTGTATAATGTACATTTTTTAGTATATCTGAGATGGCTGCTTTTTTTTCTGACTTAGCTTTAGAACCACAGTGTCTTTATCATTCACTCATCATGGTATTTCTTGAATTGCTCCCTTGGTTTCACATATACTATAATCTCACTAGAAAAATAAACTTAGTCTTTCTTATTTTTACTTGTCTGATGCTCATGTGTGTAGCATGTCTCTGGGATGTGCTATTCCATTTTATTGCTGAGGATGCACAATAGGACAATGGCTCAGGATGGAAGACAACATTATTGATGTGGTACCTTCACAATTAAATGTTTAATTCTGTGCATAGTTTTGTCACTTAAAAGTTAGTTCACGTTGTGTAGATGGGTGCAGTGCTATCTCAAACAGCTGCTATAGTAACAGTCCCTTTTGTGTGCATAGGACCTTGTGTGGCTGTTGGCAGTTAGATCCTCTTCTCAGCTTGCAGGCCACCAGACACCTTCCATCCTGTATAGCCACCTTTTATGTCCCCCTCCCCCCACATACACACTAGGCTTTCCATTGAAGAACTGTTGGAGAGTTACGTAGGCTTATAAAGGGCCAGGCTTATAAAGTGAAGCATGTTACTCACGCCCACATGCTTCTCCCTGTCTCCCTGGCTAGAACACAGCCATGTGGTTGTACATGACTACTGGGGAACTGAGTAATGATTGATGGCTTTGTGTCTAAAAGCTAAGTTCTCAACCTTCCTAACGATGCACCAGTTAACGCAGCTCATCATGTTGTGCAGACCCCTAAACCAGAGTTATTTTGTTGCCACTTCATAATTGTAATTTTGCTGTTACAAATGGTAATGTGAATATCTGTGTTTTCCAATAGTCTTAGGCAACCCCGTGAAAGGGTTGTTTGACTCCGAAGGTGTCATGACCCACAAGCTGAGAACCACTGGTCTAGAAAGACAGAGCAGTGGTTTGGTGGTGAAAAATAAGTAGTCTCCCTTCCAGTGGTAAACATCTGTTTCTTTGTAGATCCCGCTTGGAAACAGTCAAACTTTCTCAGAGGGACTTGTTTGGTCAAGGCACCTAGCTTGGTGGGGCATACCTACCCTCCTCACACAGTTCTGTTTATGGGGCCCGAGTGAGGCTTCTGAGTCCCAGAGACCTATGAGCTAAGAAGACGCACTGTTGACTCCCTGCTAGGGTACAGCGGCTGAGTGTGGTCGGCTTAGCGTAAAGGACACTGCAGAGGCTGCTCGCACCAGCTATAAGGGTCTGCTGGTTGGAGATGGGGATACTTCTCTGGTTGCACGCGCTGTGTTTTGTTTTTTGTTGTTGTTGTTGTTCTACCCTATCTCTTCTACCCCACTTTGGCCACATCAGAAATGGGTACTAAAGCTGTGCCCTCCTAGAGTACATGGCCCATCCCTTAGGGGAAGTGCACCCATGCACTCTGTGATGCTTTTATCTTTTTCTTTGTTTGTTTGTTTTGGCCTCATGGCTCTCTGGAAAACAGTAGGCTTTGGCCTGTGTGATTCCCCTTTGTTCCAGGTGCAGCTGTAAGACCTGGGGTCTCACAGCTCAGGAGTTCAAGATCGCACCCTTCCCAGAAACTCCCCCAGACCAAGACTCGTTGCAAAAGCAAGAGGTTTATTAACCATTGCGCAATGGGGTCACCCCTGCCAGTCAGCAAAGAGTGGCACCGGGAGACAAAGGCCTTTAGGTTTTTAAAAGAAAAATTGCGGGAGATTTGAAGTTGCAGTCTTGGCAATTTAGGATTGGATGAGGAAGCTATAAAGTAAGATAATTGGTTAGTCTTAGGTGCTCAAGCTTGGCCAGTCCTGCCAAGTGTGGATGCAGCTGCAATTGAAGGTGGGGGTGGTTAGCTCATCCTTGAAGATTAGGGGCTACAGACTTTTGGCTGGAGGTCAAAAGCTACTCAGAAGAAGTCTAGGTTTGTTGCTAAGAAATGCTATCTCAAAGACAGGAGTTTTTCAGTTTGCTGAGTGAAGGTCATTGCTTGCTTGCCTTTTTTTCTATCTGTCCTCATAGATAGGGTCACATTTTTCCATTCTCTGGAAAGGTACTAAGAGGCTTTAGCTTAACCTGAACCTAAAACTCAAAACTATAGGCTTTAGAAGACATACAGGTTACAAAGTTAGTCTAACCCTTTCACAGCCACCTCTACCGTTACCCTTCTTGGTTTTCTCGTTAAGTCTGTTTTCTTTTTATATAGTTGCTCTTCTGGTAATTCATATTCTAAAGTTACACGAACTAGAGGCAACCATCCTTGAATTGCTTTTGGCCAAAAGGCCAAGTTTTGACTACACTTTGTGCCTAATTTGGGCACCTTGAGGGGCTCGAGCCCAGCCTGGGAGCTTCCATGCTTCTGCACTCTTTCTGCTTGTACTTGATCTCATATTGCCTCACCAAGTTTATGTGTAGGCTGTCAACCCTCTTTATGACCATTTCCTGTAGGGCCCTATGGTCAGTACATGTGTGGTCAGACTTCCAGGCTATTATTAGAAAGTCCTGGCTTGTGCTTTTGGTCAGGTCATTGAGCAGTGTCCCACAGTGTCACTGAATATCCTTTCAAGGTACCTGGTTATGTTAGTATTGGAAGCTGTGGGAAAGTAATCGCACAATGTCAGTAGCTCAACACAAACACAGCAAAGTGTTTGCACACAACAGACAGGCCAGGTTGCCCTCCTGATGAGGAAGGTGCCTGCTCTGGGTACTCCACTTTCTTCATCCATTAGGGAGAAAAGAGGGTGTCATCATAGCTCAAGCCTGTGCACCGCTGGGGTAATTGTTCTGGAGCTGCGCTTGCTAGACCTTGTCTCACAGCTGCCCCTGATTTCTAGAGAGCCAGGGAGAAAGCACAAAGTACTGGGTGAAAAACTAACGGGTGACTGGCAGGGTATTGATTAGAAAAACAAATATATTCACAGATAAAAATAGCTTTGTGACGACCATCAGTTTTACGGGGTTATCTGGGCTCTAATTTAAGGGAGGACCGGGTATCAGCTAATCCAGGGCTCGAACTGCAAGTGTGTGTTTGTGTGTGTCAGTTTTTCAGATAGCCCCACACCTCTGACTGTTGCACATTGCGGCTGTTGGACAGGCAGTTGCTGCAGCTGAGAATGTCAAGTATTGGCAGCCAGGGGAGGCCGCTACAGCAATGTGGGTTGTACCAGGCTGGGCCCACAGCTTGGACCTTAGGCTCAGTGCTCCTTGTGAAGATGGCATGTGTCTGCAGTCAGACTCTCCTTCCCTTGATGTTCAAGGCAGCCTCCTGTGACTTTTTGCCACCAAGAGCCTTTGTGAGTGCACTGCTTCAGCTCTCGTGAACACCTCAGCATATGAAGGCATGCTCACACTCACTCCTGTTTGGAAACAGTTCCGGTCACTTCAGATGCTGAGCTGTTTTGTTTGCTTTCTGCTTTTACTTTTAAGATTTGTGACAGTACAAGACTTCTTTCTGTAAGACCAATCCAGTCAAAATGAGACCTCACCTCTACTTGAAGAAATCTTGGCCACTGATGGCTTCTCGGGGAGAGAGAGGAGAGAGTCATTTTTCTTTGGGGTGTGGCCACTGGTCGGTTGTGCATGCCCTGCTGAATAGCCAGTGCACACACTGGCTGCACTAACTGACCCTGTGGGTTATTTCAAAGGACGAAAGAGAGGAGGACAGGAAGATGGAAAGGGATTTGTTTGTGGAAGAGTCCAAAAGGAGTTGGAGGAGGGGAGACAGGAATGGATATGATCCAAATATGGTGTTTAAGTGTCTGGAATTCTCAAGGAATAAATTAAAAATACTATACTAAAACAAGATGTGGTGGTGTGTCTGTGACATTTATTCTTGGTTGTCAGCTTGACCACATCTCGACTTTACGAAACCCCAAGTGGCTGGACACACCTGTGAGGGATTTTTCTTAATCATGTGGCGTGGGAAGACCCACACATAATCTGGGCCACACTTGCTGGCAGCCTATATTAAGGATGTGGGAAAAGGAAGTTCTTTGCTTTTCTCCTGCTTGTCCTCTCTGGCTAGCAACTTCATTCCTTCACGGGCATAAGTGTCTGTTTCTTGGGGATTCCAGCATATACTGACGACCATCTGAGGCATCCCAGCCTCATTGACTGAACAGTACTGGACTTTGGACTTTGCATTGGCAGGCAACCTTTGTTGGATTAACTAGGCTACAGCCTGTAAGCACTTAAATAAGTTCCCTTTTTACATAGATTTATTCTCTCAGTTCTGTTGCACTAGAGATCCTGACTAATACAGTGTCCTTGAGTTGTCACCATATTCCTTCACCATTGGTCCTATTTGCATCAAATTTTGTGGTATTGGGTATGTGCTTAAGTGTGGTTGAGTATGAGCATGTGTACAGAAAGATATGTGTGCATATCTGTTCGATCTCTTACTATAGGGTTGCCCACACTTAATGTCTTCCTCAGAGGCTTGCCTTTGCTGCTCCTCCTGAGATGTGGTATCTTGGTGAGTATTACTGTCATGTCTTCTTTCATGTGTATTTAGACTAATCCATTCTATTAGTTCCTGAATGGTAAGAGCAACACGAGATGCTCCATTTGCTACCCTCCCAATTTATACAATATTATATAGGAAAGTGGGTCCTGTGTCTTCCCATGCGATAGCAAGAAAGTTGGATTCAGTCTAGAGAATGTCACAATGGAAGCTTTGCATCTAACATCACATTTACAAGTTAATTTATGATTCTCCATACTGTTATGTCTCAGAAAGAGTAGCTCTAGTTGCTCAGACCAACAAGCTAGGGGACATGTTTGCCTCCACTATCTCCTAGCACCCACTGGAGAACAAGGCCCATCAGTGCGGCAGGGCTTTGTTGCCATCTCACCTGCTATGGTTCTAAGCTTGGACATGCCAGGAGCTGCCTCTATCAGAGCCACAGAATCACCCTATACTGTTGCTGAGATAAAGCCCTAAGAGTCTGCTTGCTCTGAAAATCCATAGTTTAGGATCTGCGGATCCATCTTTCTTTCTTTTTTTTAAATTAAATTAAATTTAATTTAATTTATATATTTATTTATTACAATTTATTCACGTTGTATCCCTACTGCAGCCTCCTTCCTTGTCTCCTCCCAGTCTTACCCAACCTCTCTCTTCTCCCCCTATGCCCCTTCCCTAGTTCCCTGATAGGGGAGGACCTCCTCCCCTTCTCTCTGACCCTAGCTTATCAGGTCTCATCAAGGCTGGCTGCATTATTTTCCTCTGTGGCCTGGCAAGGCTGCACCCACCCCCAGGGGGTCGTGGTCCTCTCCATGCATGGTCCTTAGTTGGAGTATCTGTCTCTGCAGGCCCCTGGCTCTGTTATTCTCCTTGTGAAGTTCCAGTTCCCTCCAGGCTTTCTATCTCCCTCTTCTTCCATAAGGATTCTGGCACTCTGCCCAAAGTTTGGCTATGTATCTCAGAATCTCCTGATGGGTAGAATCTTTCAGAGGTCCTCTGTGGAAGGCTCCTGTCCTGTTTCTTGTCTTCTACTACTTTTGATGTCTATCCATGCCTGTCAGCAAAATACCTGTTTCCATAGCTAGTGAGGCCTTGCAGATTTCTGCCCTCACTGGTACTGATCTACACCCCTCCAGTCAGACAAGAGTTGTCCTTTTCAAGCAAGATTCTGCCCATGGAAGACACTAGCATCAGACCAAGAAACAAAAGCACCAGCTAGAAAGAACCTTCCAAGCCATGGTGGTTGGGGTGTAGGGAAATAGGAGAATTTATGTTCTAGTTTATATCACACTGTTAATTCACAAAGCAACAGAAGGATTCTCCCAAAGTTTGAGCTGTAGGAAAGATGCAGGTGTCCTGAAGGTGAGGGCCAGTTCAGGGCCCCTGGTGCATGGTGGCCATGCAGGTCCCTCACAGCTATGCACAAGTGTCTGCCATGTGTCAAACCTGTCCTGCGTTGGCTGCCTGCTGTGTGTCACGTATGGCCTGTGCTCTTCTTGTGTTACATTTTGATAGGCATTTGTTCTTCAGTAGACCAGCGGTAGTTTGAGCTATATGACTGAGCTCTTTGAAACTCTGAAACTACTAGTTTAGCATTAATGTCATATAAGGGCATAGGGAAGATTTTCACCCATGCAAGCCTTATGTTTGACAGGATTATTATGTGGGAATATACAAAGAACTAAACAAGAAAACTACCCCGTTAAAAATGGGCCATGGAGGTGAACAGTTCACAAAAGAACTTCACTTGTTTATATATGTCTAACAAAGTGCTGGTGTTCTTAGCTACCTGGGAAGTACAGATTAAAACTGTTTTAAGATGCCACCTCACCCCAGTCATAGTGGCCTTTATCAAGAATACACATGACAACAATGCTGGTGTGGATGTGGAAATTGAGACTGCTTAATCCAGGCTGGTGGAAGTGCAAATTTGTGCAACTGCTATGAAATCAGTCTGGCAGTTTCTTTGTATGTATGTTATGTATGTATGTATGTATGTATCTATCTATCTGGATTTATATCCTACTGCAGAGATACTGGCACATCTAATGTTCATTGCTGTTATAGTCATAATAGGTAGTAAATGAAATCAGCCTAGATGTCCCTTAACCAATGAATGGATAATAAAAGCATGTACACAAAATAGATTATTCAATTGTAAAGAAAAATAAAATAATGAATTTTACAGAGTAATGGATGGAACATGAAAACACATTAGGATAACCCAGGCCCAGAAGGTCAAACATTGCATGTCTTCTGATACGGATTATGGTTTTGATTTCTTAGATTTGTTTAACTTTGAAGGTCTATAGAGATGTGAAAACTAGAGTTGGGCCATGGGGATGGGAGAAGAGGCATCAAGGGAGGGGGGACGGTAGAACATATGTGGTACGACAATGGAGGGAATTCTGGGCCTGGCAGAAATGTGAGGTAGCTGGTCAGATTGCATCAATGGTCAGGAAGCTGACAGGTGACTGATGCTCAGCTCCCTCCCATTTTAAAAATGTTTTCATTTGCATGTATTAACCAGACATAGTGATGACTTTTATTATGACATTTTCACATATGCATATATGTTTTGATCATATTCACCTCCCCACCCTGAGTAATCCCATTTCTTTTCCCAGTTAATACGCCCATTTTTCATATTATTTGTTTCTTTTTTTTGTGACCCAATGAGTGTTTATAGGGGTGTGAGTGAAGGACTATTTATAGGAACATGGGCATCTTACCAGTGATATAGCCACTGAAGAAAATGTCTCTTTTCCCCCAGCAACCATCAACTACTGATAAATCCTGAGGGAGAGGTGGCAACTCATGACCACCCCCATGTTCCCCCATGACAGAATATTGACAGGATCGGTTTTATGTAGGTAATCACAGATGCTGTGGATTCAAGAGGGCACTGGCCATGTCCTGGCCGTAAGATTGTGTTCCACCACTTTCCACTCCTTTCTCTATCTCTTACCATCTTTCCTCCTCTTCAGTGAATTTTCCTGAGCCTCGGAGGGAGTAATATAGGTTCCCCATTAATGGCTGGTCAATAATCACTTATTTTTAGTCTCTATAGTTACTGCTGTAGCCTGCAGAAGGAAGCTTCTGTGAGCAGAGCTGAGAGCAGTATTAGCCCTGAGCATGGACAAGGACTTAGAAGGCAGTTTGACCTTCCACAATACCAACAGCGGCAGTCATTTCTATAAATTATGCTCATCAAGCTGTAACAGACACTGAAGGAACAGGGCACGCGCTTTCATCAAGCATGGCTACTCAGCACACTTGATGGAGCATCTAGGGCCCAGTCTTAAGCAGATCCTTTACTTTGTATTTTCTTTAAATCCCACTGTTTTTAGTTTTCAGTAATGAAGTTTGTGTTTTTTCTTCTGATAATAAAATTTTAAAGGATGGACTGGGGCATGATTAGCTGTTTGTAGGAAGGTATAGGCATGATGAGCACCAGAAACCGCATGACTAAAAATCTGTTGGCTGTGCCTTCAAGTACATCTGTGCCCACAGTGGGATGTGGGGGTGAATGGCATCAAGGATTCCTCTAGCCTCCTGCCACACAGGTCTACGGTGGTCATGTTCACTAAACTATTTAATAAGGTAAATAAAGTATCTAAAACATGTTTGTCAATTTATGCTTGGTGAGACTTAGCCATGACTCACTGATTATGTAATCCATAGTAACTTTACTTCCATTCACAGACTGTTGAGATATTTGAATGCATCCAGAACCACTGGGACACTTGAATGCTGCTCCAGGGGTTTGGTTTCTATTGCAGTTGGTTACCAACTCTGCTATGCAGGGGTCCTCCTTCAGGCCAGGTCACTGGGAGGGGGCTGTTCAGCTTCACAGTTGGCCCAGAAGGTGGAGGAGGGCCTGTGAAGTGGGGATCAGGGAGAGAAGTAGAGGACATTATTTTTCCCTGGTACCTTTTCCTTTTGGGGGGTGGTGGCGAGTGGTTACGTATTATGTGTGTGTGCATGCTAATAGTGATGAGTCAACTAGACTTTCATGTGAATCACATGCTGTGCCTGCCCTCATCTTGCTTATGCTTTGTATTTTCAGGCTAATAACGGAAACACTTCCAGAGATGCCCTCCACTCATGGCCACACAAGTGATATAGTTGCGGAGAGATACCTGGTTGAGTCTCAGAAGTCTGCAGCTCATGCTCCACTTGCCTGCAGCGCACAGCACTGTGCTTTTCCTTTAGATGGGAACCGTCTCTGTGTGTGGAGCCCCAAGGGCCCTTCTCACCAGGCAGGTCACAAACCAAGCATGCTCTTGTTAGGTCCAGGGTCGCAGAGACCTTGCCCTGCCCATTTGTTTCTCCCATATTCTGGAAACATTGGCTTTCATGGAGACAACTATGAGCTATGGCAGAACGATGTTGACAAGAAAAACCATTATGTTAAGTTGTTATTTTTAAAATGCAGCTGGTCTGTCATTAACTTTCTTTAGAAGTCTTTACAAGAGTATGAACAAGAAAAGGCCCATCTTACTCATTTACATCCGAGCTTGAGCTTTCTTACTTTGCAATGAGAAATAAGATGTTAAGTGTCGTGTACACCTGGGAAACTATGGTCAGGCCCCCTGTCTTCGTTAAATGCAATGCCATTTTGAGCTCTGGAACCAGAGGCACATTTCCCTCCTGTTTAAACTCTATGTGAGTAGAATTTCAGGTTGTGCGTTCTTCAGCAGCTTCTTTCGTTCACATGTATTTGGGAGAGCCCTGTGCTGCTTCCTTTCCATTGCTTCACAGTATTTTATTCACAGCATTGTGCTGTTGGTGGAAAGTGGCTTCGTTTGTTGGTTTGTTTATTTGCTATTTTCTGGTGCACCCGTATGGAAAAGGCTGAGTTACAGGAGAAGCACATACTTAGTAGATAATATCCAGGAGAGTCTTAAGTGGCTGTGCCAAGCTCTGTGATGGTCAGAGCTGTGGCTGACCACAGCTTGTCTGCACTGGGTCCTTTCAGGCTAGCCCTGGAGGGTGTAGCAGTCCCCTGTTGCACACTTTCATATTTATGATGTCACTAGTAATGGGAATAGGGACTGTCTTTGACATGAACCCAGTGGCCTGCTCTTTGATCACCTTCCCCTGAGGGGGGTACAGTCTTATCAGGATTTTCTTATTTTTAATTGCTGGGTTGGGTAGTATTCCATTGTGTAAATGTACCACAATTTCTGTATCCATTCCTCCATTGAGGGACATCTGGGTTGTTTCCAGATTTTGGCTATCACGAATAGAGCTGCTACGAACATGGTTGAGCAAATGTCCTTGTTGTATACTTGAGCATAGTTTGGATATATGTCTAGGAGTGGTATAGCTGGATCTTGAGGTAGCACTACTCCCAATTTTCTGAGAAAGCGCCAGACTGATTCCAAAGTGGTTGTACAAGTTTACATTCTTGAGTGAGGTAATCCAGAAACAGAAAGACACATATGGTATATACTCACTTATAAGCAGATATTAGACATATAATATAGGATAAACATACTAAAATCTGTACACCTGAAGAAGTTAAGCAAGAAGGGAGACCCTAGTTAAGATCTCAATCCTCATTCAGAAAGGCAAATGGGATGGACATAGGAAGAGGGAGAAAACAGAGAACAGGACAGGAGACTACCACAGGGGGCCTCTGAAAGTCTCTACCCAGCAACATATCAAAGCAGATGCTGAGACTCATAACAAAACTTTGGGAAGATGCAGGGAATCTTATGAAAGAAGGGGGATATAGAATGACCTGCAGGGGACAGGAGCTCCACAAGGAGAGCAACAGAACCAAAAAATCTGGGCAAAGTGTCTTTTCTGAGACTGATACTCCAACCAAGGACCATGCTTGGAGATAACCTAGAACCCCTGCACAGATGTAGCCTATGGCAGCTCAGTGTCCAAGTGGGTACCCTAGTAAGGGGAACAGGGACTGTCTCTGACATGAACTTACTGCATGCTGATTGGCCACTTAGATATTCACTTTGCAGGTGTATGTGTTTAAGGACCACCCCTTTTGTTTGCTGGACTCTCTTGATGGCTTTTTTTTTCTGTTAGATTATCTATTTTTCATGTTGATATGAAGGTCAACAGTGCATTCAGGAATTTTAACGAATTAATTAAAAGTCAACACATGTAATAAATACATTTGAAAAGCTTAGGTTTGAAATTATATTGTTTTTCTGTATACTTTTTGATGTTATAAGTAGCTTATTTGTTTTTCAAGCTTCTCACCCTACAAGGACACCATCAATTGATTACTGCTGTGGTTTTTGGAAATCAAGCAGATCCACTTCAACTCTGCTCTGCATCACAGGATTATATTATACTGTGGAATGTGGTTGAATGCAGAGAAAAGACACTTGAAGGTAAGCAGACATAAACCAGTTTAACAGCCTTCGTGTCCTGAATGAAGAGGTGCTGAGGAGGCGTCTGTGGTAGGTAGATTTGGTGGTAGGTAGAGGGCTTGCCTGCTGTAATAACTTTCATCCTCACACAGGCAAGGTCAGCTGAGAGAGCCTCAGGTGAGGAAAAGCTTCCATAATCTTGGCTTCTAGACAAACAAACAGGACATTTTCTTGACGGATGATTGGTTGAGAAGGACCCAGCCCACAGTGATGGTTCCTTCTTGACCAGGTGGTTCTGAAGTATATAAACAAGCAAACTGATCAAGCCACAAGAAGCAAATCAGTAAGCAGTGTCCATTCATGGATTCAGCATTAGTTCCTATTTTGAATTATTGTCCTGACTTCCCTGGATGGTGAACGACAAGCTATAAGCTGAAATAAGCCTTTCCTCCTAAGTTGCTTCTGGCCATCACATTTTATCACAGCAGTAGAAACCATAATTAAGACACCTACCAAAGAGGAGATCGTGGGTTTAATCTAATCCTAGTACCGCGTAGAGAGTGACTAGTCTATAGTTTGTAGCAAGGAGTTGGACCTTTTAAGTCCCTTCAGTGCTGCAGGTGTCTAGTTGGACCTTGTCATTAGCTGCACTGATCTCTGCTATGTGATATGCTGATACAGAGGCTTGCTGGCTTTATTCTGTATTACTTATTTTAAATATTGATATTGCAGACCTCTGAGGATCTGTGGACAGTCTGAATGGAGTACCTTACCTCAGGCATAGGTATCCTAGGGAATTTTGTGTTCCATGCTGCAGACATAGTGGTGAAGGATCTAGGTCCTCTCTGTTGGAAGGAGCTGCATTCCTGAGGCTGTAGGTAGATGGTTCTCTGTGTTGGAGGGAGCTCTACTCTTGTGGCTGTGAGTAGATGGTCCTCTTGTTTTAGAGCAGCTGTACTTCTGAGGTCTTAGAGCCACAGCTGTCTGTGTTGTAAGGTGTTCTCTGAGGTTTTTCCATGTTCATGGTTAACATTGTTTTTGCTTCCTCACATGGATGGTCTGGTTCTGAAATAGCATCAGTGTTCATTTTGGCATCTGACACGGTACCATTATAAATTGTTCCCATGTCTAATCTAGTATGCTGAAGTGCCTGTGGGTGAGGATGAGCTTGCATTATGGGTCTGAAGGGAGAGTACTTCCTGAAAGCTATAAGCTCTCAGTGTAGCTCTCTTGTACCATGCAGGAGTTGGAGCCTAATTGTATTTGGTTCCTTGTGCATTGTGGGTAGCTCAGTTCATACCATTTTTAGGTCTGCTGCTTGAAATGTGATTTTACTCAACCATTTGTGTGCGGATGGCTCATGCCTTTCTTTCTGTGTGGACCTTCTCCTAATTTAGTCTTCAGATACTTACTGCTGGAAATTCCTTGTCATGTCTAAGACCATTGTAGACCACTGCCACTCCTGCCACACAGATCCTCCTCTTGCTGTCTTTCTGTCTGGGCTCTCAGGGCCCAATCCTTCAGTTGCTCACTCTATTTCCAATCCATGAATGAGTTCCATTTATTTTATCTTTAAACTCAGACTCACCTTGGGTATCTCTCACATATCTATAAGTACTTAAGGCACAAGCTCCAGTCAAGAAAATCTTTTACAAATGTGCCTAGCTGCTTGGGTTTTAGTTGATTACAGATGTAGTCAAGTTGAAGACTAAGATTAGCCACCACACAGAGTCTTTTGGTTGACTGGTGACACATCTGTGCTAATTAACAGTGGCTTCCAAGGCTCAGGGAAGATGGCAGTTACCAGATTATCTTCTCTTACAATTTTGGCCTGGCTAGTGTGGCTGCACTTGAATCTTCTCTGCAAGTTTTGCATCGTTGCCCAGGTACCCGCAGGCTGTATGGAAATGTTGTCTTTGTGGTAAGAGCCTCAGAGGCCAGGGTTGCCATGGCACACCATCTCCTGATCCCCACACTGGTCAGCGTGTGTCACTGCCAGAGCAGGGGTAGTAATGGACACAGAAGTGCTGGGTGGCAAGCTTGGTCTGTGCAGCAATTCTGGGTACTCATGGCCCCCTGGAGACTAGTTTCCTTATGACCTTGGTCCTGTACCGAGAGGCCTCAGGAAAAAGACCGTGTTCCATTATCATATACCAGATCGTTGTTCCTCTGCCTGTACCTCTAGAGCAGAGAACTGCACAGGACATATTCTTCTGACACTAATATCTGAAATTTGCTCTAGGACTGACTCCTCGAGGGACGATTCTGGGATCCCTTTTACAAAAAGTGTTGTGTTTGAGATTTAGTCTGGATGATCGTGCTGTTGCAGTGTGTGTTGGAAACAAAATCTCTGTGCTGGATGTAGAGGTAAGAATGACACACTGTGGAGGTACTGAGCATACATTTGGGGGTGTATTTCAGGTGGGCTTCCCTTTTAAAATGGCAGTTTTATTCAATGTATTTTGTAAAGATGTTGTAGGGAAACCAAGAAAAACATCTTAATCTTATAATTGATAAGCCACCAGAAATGCTGTTTGCACGAATGTGTCAGGGATAACTTTTAGCAGACACATTTACCAAAATAGTTCTTTCTTGAGCAGTGTCCTGCGTTAGGAGTTCCCGAAGAATCTGCATGACACAGTGCTTCAGCTGCCTGTTTGTCAAACATCCATTTTCCACTGTGACTCAGACCTTTCTCTTGCTTCTCGCTGCAGTTTATAGAAAAGTAAATGTCCCCCAGGTTGGGGACTTCCAACCCCACGTTTGCTGGGCACTGGTGCTTGAGCTGTGGTAAGGCAGTGCTGGGGGTTATAAATCTCTGGAGATAGGGAGGAGCCCCCACTTCCTCCATTCATGGGGGAGTGCCAGTGCCTGGAATAGCTGTGGTTCTCATTTCCCAGGCCAGCACAGGCACTGAGGTGCTTTTGCCTTCCATGGCTTTCTTTGCTATCTATTTTAAAACTTTTGGGTAAGGAAAGATGTTAGCCAAGAATCATCAGGTGGTATCCTAGGCCCTAGGATATGTGAAACATTTGGGGGTACAGTCACTGTATCTATAATGTCTTAGTCACTGATCTATTGCTATAAAGGGACACCGTGACCAAGGTGACTGATATAAGAAAGCATTTGGTTGCAAACTTGCTCTTACAGTTTCAGAGGCTTAGTTCATTATCATTATGGCAGGGAGCATGGAGGCACACAAGGTGCTAGAGCAGTAGCCGGGGCCTACATCCTGGTCCTCAGACAGAGACGGAAAGACTCTTGGTGTGGATTGGCTTTTGAAACCTTAAAGCCCATTCATTCATTCCCAGTGACACACTTCCTACAATGAGGCCACACTTTCTAATCCTTTCAAATAGTGCTGTTGCCATGCTGTCTTGTTATGTTTTAGTTACTCTTTGCTAGAGAATAGCTTCAAAGGGAGGTAGAGGATAGGATAGGTACATTCAGATAGTGGTAGAGGAAAGAGAAAGACAGGCAGGCAGAGACGGACATATGTAGTAGAGGGAAGAGTGATAAGAGGCATACAGTGACAGAGAAAACAGCTGAAAGACACAGACATAAAGGAACAATAGATAGTAAAAGGCTGAGCATCGTACTGTCACCCTGAGCTGTATGGGCTGTCGAGGAGTGTCTTGTCAAGAGAGAGCCACAGAGGACAGGAAATCTAGAAGATGTCAGCTTCCTGTTTTGTACCAGATCAGATGTGGCTGGTTCTTAACTTTTACTTACAGATGATATACTTCTCTCAGAGCTTGGGCATCAGATTTTTAACTTTTAAGTTGATATAGTTAGGGCAGTTCAAATTTTGAAGTAGTGATGTGTAAAATAGAATTTATTCTTTAAATTAAAAACATTCTGTGGTATGTGTGTGTTTGTGTGCACATGCATGTGAGCACGTGTGCCACAGCACATGTGTGGAGGCCAGAGGACAACTCTGGAGTTGGTTCTCTCCTTCCCTTACTGTCTTCTTCCTCGATTCATGGGAAGTGTCCAATGCCTGGAATAGCTGTGTTTCTTAGTGGCAGGGGCCTTTACCCACTAAGCCCTTTGCCCAGCCTTGTAGGATTTATTTCAACAAGCTCGCTTTTCTGTGGTGAACTATGATTTCTTGATGTTGGTCATTCTAGAAAATTCTATGAATAACTTTTTTTTTTTTTTTCAAATCCTAGAAGCAATCAGTGCTGGTGGAGCTGCAGGGCCATCAAGGCTCAGTGACAGCAGTGGAGTTCTGTCCCTGGCAAGCACACACCCTCATCTCTGTGTCTGAAGACAGAAGCTTTAAGGTGGGCAGCAATGGCTTGGGATGTTAGGGATGTTGTGGACATTGCTGCTGCTGTTTGATTGCTACTGCTGCACAGGTTTTTCTTGTAATAAAACATGACAAAACTTGAAAGAAGATGGCCCAGTGGTTAAGAGCACCAGTGTTCCTGCAGAGCACCAGGATTCTGGTCTCAGAACCCATACAGTTGCTCAAAACTCTGTGGAATTCTAGTTCCAGGAGATCCACTGCCCTGTTCTGGCCTCCAGGGTCACTGCACACCTATGGTACACCTATATGCATGCAAGCAAAGCACTCATGCACCTAAGATAAAGATGAGTACAGTTTAAAGCATGTACCCGAGGAGGCTGTTTTCCTCACCTGCAGAGAAGTGGGCTTTTGATGTTTTATTGGGGCTGGATACTCCTTTCTGCATTTTTTGAGTCTCCAGCATTTGGACATTGAACAACTGTGAAGACTTTTTAAAACTCTAAATCTGGAGGGAGCAACATGTATCTGCAATGTTTCCTCGTGACTGCAGCACTCAGCATGGCTGAGGACCGAGTGACCACAGTGAGAGGACAGGGCGAAATGCAGGCTCACTTCTGAGCAGCCCCAAGTTAGCTAGTGTTGCTATGATTTTACTAGCAAACCCTGGACATTTATCATTGTCCTGAAAGAAAAGCTGAAAGTCACAAGTGTGTATTAAACCACAGAAGCTGTGAGAATACAGTCTATGGTCATTTTGAAATATCTATTAGATGACACCAGGTGGGTCCGGACTTCCTCTGTGAGTCAGCAGCTGTTGGAGCAGAAATCCAAGTTGTTCTACTTGGATAAGCGATGTTGCTCTTCAATTGTCTTACATTTCAAATTGACAGCAGGCCTCTTGTATCACTGGTGGTCATGAGAATGAAGAGAGTTGACATTTTGAATTGTCCTTGAAGCTGTGTCTATCATAGAAGGGATGGTGGATACATCAAACCAATGTGACTGTCATGGTTGGAATGCCGTTCTGTGGGTGAACACCGTCTATGTTTGGGGCACACACCCAGGGACATGCTGGCACTTCTTCACTAAGCTACTCATTGGAGTATTGATTATATACCCAGGAATTGCTTTCTCTCTCAGGTGTGTCTGCAATCCTCCTAAATCCATAGGTAGTTACCTTTGCAAGAATCAGGATGTTTTCATCATTATTCTGAAATCTTGGGTTTTAATAGTGTAGTGATTCAGTATGCAAATTTTAAATATTTTCTTTTTTTTTTTTTTTTTTTTGGTTTTCTAAGACAGGCTTTCTCTGTGTAGCCTTGGCCGTCTAGACTTGTTTCCTAGACCAGGCTGGCCTCTAACTCACAGAGATCCTCCTGCCTCTGCCTCCTGAGTGCTAGGATTATGGGTGTGTGCCACCATACTCAGCTTTTCATTGTTATTTATGTAGATTAATTTTTGTTGCTTAAAATTTTAGTTCATGGCTTAGCAATAATAGCAACATTTTTATATCTCTTAAAGAAATGTCTTTCATTTAAAGGTCTGGGACTATTGTGAGGGATCCTTGATATACAGCTCATCCATCTTAACAGGTAAATCAAAGATTCTTTTACATTCCAGCTGAGTAGGCTGTGCAAACTCTCCTGGTGTGGCTGTTACCCCAGAGACAGAGGTGTAACAAACAGTAGTTAGAATCAGCAGTTGTCATCTGTGAGGAGCCATTCAGAAATGTGTGTATAATGAACCAGACAGAACTGATTTTCTTCTGTCTAATGAGTGGGTGAATTTCACAGTTTGGTTTCTGAGCAGGTGTTTCAGGTAAGTATGTAGAGTAGGTACATAAAGTGCCCAACACAGTAGAGTGCCCTCTTCCGTCCTGGAGAGGGGTCCAGAGCTGGTAAAGTTTAGAGGGACACCTTCTTCATCAGTGAGTGGGGGACTGGGGCAGCATGAGATCCATTGATTAGGCTGGAAGCATTTGTCACCTTATGGATTCTAGGATAATTGTTGATTTCGTCAAACTCTTTGGTGGGAAATGGAACCAACACCTGATTATTGAGATGTGTGACCAATTTCTATGGCCTGGCAGTCCTGGAGCCTGGGGGTGTTGTGTGTGACTTCTGGGGAACATTTCACCTGGGGTCCTGTGTTTCCTTCCTGCATGTCATGCTTCTAGAGTCCCTCCCATATTCCACATATGTGCACCAGTGTTCTGGGAGAGCAGGAAGACCAATGCTAGCTGCTCTTTACTTTCCTCTGAGAGGCCTCTTATAAGTGGCATAAAAAATGTAACTTAGGGAAAAGACAGATGCCTTGGTGTCCTGCTGGAGTTACTGTTGTGTTTTTCTAAGAGGAAACATTTTGAGGTCAGTTATCCACATGCAGAATATTGTATTCTGACAGCCTGGAGTTGTGACCAAGCTTGGGCACATTTTTCTGGAAGTTTGTTCGATTTTCTGAAGACAATCTTGTGGAAGGATTGTGATTGGAGAACAAAATTGTAGACTGCTGTGGACTCAGGATGGTGCCATTTACAGCTTAGTTAGGGCATACAGTGCTTCCCAGCCTCTGTTTATCTAATTTCTTCCAAATTCTTGATGGTTTCAGGCTATAGTTTAAATAAAATTAAATTTTAGAGAGTTCTTTTTATTTAAAGTTAAGATAGCCACTTAACTGCTCTTTTTATTACTAAGCTCATGATTTCTTTGCTGTTGGCCTACGGGAACTGCTCTGCCTGGTTAGAAGAGCTGAACTGTGCTCTCTTCCTCTAGGCTGTTGACAGTTGTCTGGATCTGCTTAGGGTGGGCCTATGAGATGGAACTCACCAGGATCCACCAGAAGCTGTACAACTCATAGCTACCATTCTTCCGATTTGGGACAGCATTCCTTTTTTTCTCTCTCTTGCTCGTAAATGTTTCCAAATTTGTATTTACTTGTAAATTTACCTCCTGGTATGAAGATTCAGAATAGTGCTAAGTGGAGTAGAAGAAGCTCCTTCCATCCTGATGTCCTATGTTCCCTCCACAGCTTACCCTCTCCTGAACTTGCTTATCAGTGAAGAAAACCGGCAGCTGGTCACTGGCAGTGCTGATGGTCAGGTGAGAGCCCTGTGCAAGGTGTCTGCTTCATGTTGTCACCTGCAGTGTGCCAGGCTTTGTCCCACAGTGCATCTCAGTGGTGGGGCTTGAGGGCCTTTCATCAGCAAAGTGGACCTTGATCTGCATGTTAAAAAATGCTGTGCAGTATTCGAATGTAGCAAAAGTTAGAATTACTTGCTCAGCCATTAGCATCCGCTTGCATGATTTTAAAACAAGACATTTATTTCAAATTTTTAAAAATGTAAACACTTTAGGTTTATATTACAAAGGTGCTGCTGACATAAATATGACGAAGATATACTTTGGGAGGTTATGATAGTTTATTTTCTTTTTCATAAATTCAACTGCCATTATTGTGTGTGCCGGGGCTCAGGAGCGTGGCAGAAGTGCTCACAGCTCAAAGGATGTGGCATGTGCTATACAGGCGCCAGTGACCGTGGGACCCCATAGGTGGCTCCGTGTGACAGTTATCACAGCTGTGTCCGACCGAAGGCTCTGGACAAACTTCCCCATAACCACCTGCTTGGAAGCTGTGCAGCTTTCAAGGAGGGACTAAATGCGACATTCAGGACAGTCCCAGTGTCTGAGAGAGCCCAGGAGCGTATCTGAGGCTGTTATCTGCCCTGCCCACTCTCCTTTGGCTTTTATAGTAACCATTAACTTCTTGAAAGAGACTTGTATTGACATATTTTGCTTTTGTAGCTGTGGATCTTCAGTTTGATGGAGACACATCACTACCACTGTGTGGCACATGTAAACCTAAGGAAGAAAAATGAGACTTTCTTCACCAGAAGAATGACAACTGGGCAGTGCAGCCTGCCAGGTGTGCTTGTTGTGGCCTACAGGTCTGCATGGACACAAGACTCAAGGGCACACACCAGGATCTCTGTTGTCAAAGTGGGAAAGAATTCAAGGGAAGTTTTATTTTTTGGGGAAAGGGTGAGGGTCCTGACCTCTGACATCACTGAGCCCGTAGGTTCTGTGGCCTGGGCTGGAGGCTGGATCACAGACAGAGACTATGAGAATGGGAGCTCAAAGACTCCTGGGTTGTCATGAATGCAGGATATCCAGAGCGCAGGCCCCACAGCCATTAGGAGTGATGCGTCTGAGCAAACTGGTCCCTTGTCCCCCAGGATGTTGCCTCTGTTTCAGTTCCAAATGCTGACCCATCTCCTGGTCAGGTCTCAGATCCTGCCTTGACCTCCTGCTCCTCTCTCACAAACCCACACCCACACCCTGCACATCACAGCATCCTTAGCTCCTCCCCTCAGCTCCTCAACAGCTCTGCTGTCCACAATTGCTCCCACTTGTCCATATAAGCCTCCTCCACATCTCACTCACCTGCTGCAGCTCACTGAAGGATCTGTACTCACTGGGGATCTGGCTCCCACTCAGTGAGGCCAGATATTACTTTCCTGCCCTAAATGGTTGATCTTATGGATATTTATTCTTTCTTTAGTTTGTTTTTTTTTTTTGTGTGGCTTTAAATGGTTTTTTAAAATTAGGTCAGAAATTACTGTCCTTACCAGTATATCTCCTTTTCTTCAAATGCATTAAGCCATGATTTTAGTTATTAGTCACTCATTTCCTGCATCTTAGGTCCATTTTAGGAGTGGTAACACTAACCTCTTTGCATTGACAGTCTCTCTCCCCATTTGCATTCTGTATCCCATAAAGACTCAATCTAGGGGCACTTTTGAGCTTTAGCCTTATTTTTTTTAGTCTTCAAAGTCCAACATTTTTTATTTATGATTCATGCTATCAACACGTATTTCTGAGACATCCTGCATTTGTTTTTTTTGAAATATTTTTATTTATTTTTATGTATACGTATCTACAGTATATCAGAAGAGGGAGTCAGATGTCATTACAGATGGTTGTGAGCCACCGTGTGGTTGCTGAGAATTGAACTCAGGACCTCTGGTAGAGCAGCCAGTGCTCTTAACCGCTGAGCCATCTCTCCAGCTCCTGTTCCTTTTTATTAGTTGGTTGCTGAGCAACATTGTTTCTTAGGTAATCAATAACTCTGTTCCCTAGAAGACAGTCAGTACCACTCCGGACATGAGGAGGATAAAAGCAGAGAAGCTGAAGCAACATTCCCTGTCCTGAGCCTGGCACACTGTGATCTCTGCCTGCCAGATTCCCAGTGTGGAGTGTACGTATGATGGACAGGGTCAAAGCCATAGGCAGAAAGCCTTCTAACTTTCTCAAGTGAGCATTAAATTCAGTTTTATGAATGGCTGAAGAAATGCCTAGTTTTGTATCTGTCTTATTATTACTTACTGTAAGTATTTCTTAAAATGCATATTTTAAGTCTTAGATTTAGTAAATTTTGTCAGTTTTATTCAAGCCTTGTTAGCAAAAGGAATTAGATAACTTTTCTAACCAAATATGGGCATATGGAACCTCTGTATTAGGACTTTTTCTTGGATTGTGACATGACAGTCTTAACTCACTCTCTTTTCTCTGCTGTTAAAATCAATCCCATACAGTGAGGGGACAGACAGTGCAGCTGAGAGAGGACTGTGCAGTGCAAACCTAGCTTGAATGAGGCTTATTGGTAGAATGAGCTTATTGACATGAGCTCTGCCATGTGGACAAGATAGCTCCTCTCTGAGCTTACCTTTATTTTCATAAAGTGACTGGCAGCACCTTCAGGCTTAGGGATCATGGTGACATTGATCTGAGCACATGCCCAGATCCTCCCCTGATCTGGTAGGCTTCTGAATGACTTAGCACCAACTGCTTTTGTGAACTCAGAAGAAAGTACAAACCACCCAGGTCAGAATTGAGCAGTGGTCATGCTACAACCATTGGTGATAATTGTTTCCTATAGATAGGAGTGGCTAACTTGAAACTCGGTTCCAGAATTAAACGAAGGGAGAAGAGGTGACTAGCTGCGTGCCAGTGGAGACAGATTCTGGCTTATTCACACAAGAGTGTGTCTTTCCTGACTGTATGGAGGAGCGGGAATGCTGGGGAGATGCTGGGAGCTAACTTGAAGAATATTTGTTTTTCTGTTTCATTCTTTTTAAGATTAGTTTTTCTTCTGACTATACCAAATGCCTGTGGATTGGAAGCTCAACAGCTTTATTCATACTAAACTTGGGAAGCTTTGAACTGGAGGCCGCTTTACATTTCAAGGGTGAGATCATGAATTCAATGATGTTTTATATTTGTCTCTTCTAACTTGGTGGTTTTCTTAAAAAGATAGATGGGAGTAAACGTTTGGGGTAGAAAGCCTGTCAATTAAATTTGAGGATAAGTTTATCAGTAACCATGCATGGCACCTGCTCAGACCATCAGTGACTCCTGTGCTATGGGATGTGAAGGACGCAGCCTTAGTTCTGCTCTTTGGGGACATTCAGCACCTCCACCTCTCAAATATATCTCTCAGGGTCCTGTGAGGCTCCCGCTGTCCTTGTGTGTCAGGATCCTGTGACGTTCTCCTTCCATCTTTGTGGGGCTCCTGTGAGGCTGTCCTTTCCCTGTATGTGTCAGGCACGTAGACACATGGATCAGGCATGTAGGCATAGGCTCTCACAGGCTCTTTTCCTTACACATGTTTCTGTCAGTGCTGATGGCAGTTCACTCTAAACGCTTGGCATGGGTCTAGACAACCTACAGGGAGTTCCCCGCCCCAGCACTGTGTTCTTAAGTCTCTCCCTCCTGCCTAGAAGCCCCATGCTCATATGTGCCTTAGTTCTGCTCTGTCTATGTGGAAGACAGGGAGTTCTCCTAAGTGTGAAGTTTTCGCCCCCTCTGTAGATTCTGAGGCTTGCCTGCTGTTCATGATGAGTGGGAACCCTGCTTGATCCTTTCCCACAGTTCTGTTCTCTGTAACAGTGTGTTCTTGTCAGGTGCTCTGAAAACATTATTATTCTGCCGTTTCCTGCTTCTCCAGACCTCAGCAGGGCAAATATATGTTTCAGCACAAAAGTATCCTTCCCCGGGCTTGTCCCAGAGGTGGTTCTTTGTCACTGTCAACCATGCTTCCTCTCAGCAGTCCCTGCCAGCATTCACAGCCTTTCTCCCCCTGCATGCTTGTGCTCTGGCCCATGGCTGGATTCCTCCCAAGCTGACTGTGTATCCCGAACTGTGGGTTCTAATGGCACAATTAGTGCTGAACAAATGGCTCAGGCTGAACGAATGAGCCAACTACTTACTTCCATTCATCAAACTTTCAACAATTAAGACTTTCAGAGCCTGAGTGTCCACGTTGCTGGGTCCTGTGCAGTGATGAGGGAGGCCATCAGCCCCAAGGTGAGTGCTGCATTCCTTTGTGCTCGAATGTGTACCTCACCTCTTCATTGTAATAACATTCTAATAACAATCTTGGTGATATTTCGTATGTGAGATTATGGCTTGTTGTTCACGTGAAGCCGATCCAACTGTTAAAGCTATGTTCATGACGGGAAAGATGGACTACATCTACAAGGCTCTGGTCCAGGCATGCTGCTAATCTTTTAAGTGTCTCTTAGGCATTTTGCATACTTGCATCTATGTTTGGGAATAAGATTGCCGTGTTGGAAATCAGCCTGGTCGCTCTGCTGAGCTCTCAGCAGTACCCTGGTACAGGAAGGACGCTTCAGGTGCTGGCAAGGTACAGTCTTTCTGCATATTGCATTGTACCTGAGTGCTTACCATTTAGCAGCATTTTAGGCCTTTTTCATGTAAAGAAATAGAGGTAAAAATTGGAAACTTTCCAACCATACTAGTGCTAAATGAACTATTTTTATGCTATGATTTTATTTTACTCAAACCTAGTTTCATAGTTTATTAATACAATACTAGTTTGTTTCAAAGTAGAATGTAAATTATAAAATAGCACTTTCATAATAGTGTGTCAATATTTTTCTCATGAAGATAACAACCTTGGTAGTTTAATTTCCAAATATTGTACATGTATACTTACATGAGTTAATTTTACATTGTCCTTAAAAAATGTGTTTCATTGAAACAGTTCTACAATGTCATTGTTTTCTCTCACAATGTGCTTATTTTTATTTTAGCGGCCATGTCCTTCCAACTTCTCCACTGTATTTTGGAATAGTTAAGAAAAAAAATTCTAAGCCTGCTAATACCAAACGACATGGTTAGTATAACACATTCTGAAACACATGCCGAGGGAGCCAGCTCCCTCACAGTCAGCATGGCTGAATCACTTTGTGAATTCCCATGTGCCAAAAGAGAAACCCGCTGCTGCTGTTGCCCCTCAGGTTTATTGCACGTCGTCTCTGGTAGGGAATATGCTCCACACTTATCCACCTGAGTTTGGCATAATTCACAGGAGCTCAAGGGCATGTCTCAGTGCTGCCGTGATTTCCTGGGGGACTTGCAGTGGTTCCTGTGTTGGGCCCTGAATGTTAGCACAGAGTGCTAACATTCAAATGTGCACATCATGCACATTTCAGTGTATGTTTCTTAATATCTAGCCACAATCACATCCTGTCACAACTAGAAGTGATTTCTTGTATTAGCCCGTCTGTTTTAAATTATTTTTGATGATCTAAAAATAGGTTCTGAGTGGTTTGTTGTAAACTGTAAAAAGAACTTTTATTTGCCTGTTTCCATTGTTGTCTCAGAGGCTTACAGCCTCTGTCTGCTAACCTAGGCCTAGTCCTGGAAGCTTCTAGCCTCCATACAATCTAATCTAGGCCTAGAATGTTTTCAACCTCTGAGACTTACTGCTGAATAAGCTCACCCTTTCTAGTTCTTTCTGAGCTCAAAGCTGGCTGGCTCAGCTCAGCTGTTCTGGCTCAAACTCCTCTCCCAGCTGACTTATTCATTCTGGCTTCTCTTTCCCAGAGAAAGAGAAGCTTTGCTCTGCTTTGCCTCAGACTAACTCTAATCTCCTGGCTCCTCCTCAAGACTGGCTCATTCAGTCTTCATGCGAGTTTTTTCTCTGCAACTTGTCTCTCTATTACTGTTCTGGCAAAACTGCCCCCTCTCTCTGTGTTGCCCCTTAAGAAGCTTTCCTTTCCTCTTTTTTCTTTCCAGAGTTGGGCATATCCTATTCTGTCAAGTCTTTCTCTGATTCGTTACTGTTTCTGCCACTTAATTAGATTTCACTCAAACATGGGTGCTTCCTTCTACAAACTAACTTTACCTTCATTGTTTGAGATAAAGGTATGTACCACCAGGCCTGGAATTAAGCTTTTCTTTACATAATACTTGTTCTATAGCAGGCAGGCCTTGAACTCAGATCTGCTTGCCTCTGTATCCTGAATGAAAGTTGTGTTTGTATTCCAGCCGATTACACAGACCTAGAAGGTCTTTGGATGTGATTTTTTGCCAGAGCAGCCATATTCCAAGTTAAAATTTCTCTACAACTTCTTCCTTTCTGTTTAAGCTAAAAATTGCATACAGTTTAACATTTACAATAGAAGCAATCATAAATCACACAAACTTAACAGTCCAAATGGCCTTATGAAGATCCACTCAGCCATTGATGTGATGATCCTCCATAGATGCAGTCCTGATCATCAACGACAGTCCATTTCAGCATCAAGGTTTTCCAGTCTGCTAGTCTGATGAACTGTCTATCCCTCTTCAGTTTGTTAAGCTGTCTCTATGCAGGAGGATCTGCTTTCTGTGTCATCTGCATTGCTGTTTTTCTGCATCTCTTCCTTGAGTTGTGCCTTTCATTTGGATCAGATCTTTATCAATTTTGATGCAACTCATAGTTGAGAGAGAGAGAGAGAGAGAGAACAAGAAAACTCAGATGAAGACTGAATAAGACAGAGAATGAGAAGGAGCCAGGAGATCTGAGCAGATTGCCAGAGTTAGTTTGAGACCAAGTAGAGGAATTCAGAGGCTGAGAGAAAAGCGAGATTGAATATGTTAGCTGGGAGTAGAATTTGAGCCAGAACAGCTGAATTGAACCAGCCATCCCAGAGCTCAGAACAAGAAAGGGTGAGCTTATTAAGCAGTAATTCTCAGAGGCTGAAAACATTCTAGGCCTAGGTTAGATGGTTCAGAGGCTAGAAGACTCCAGGACCAGGCCTAGATTAGCAGATGGAGGCAATAAGCCTCCGAGAGAGCAATTGAAACAGAGAATAAAAGTTCCTTTTACAGCCAAATAGTCCTCATATTGATTTTTCCAATATATATTTTAAAGTTAACTTCCATGTTAAGATGGCAGAATTCACTGTGTCCCAGTTATTTATATTATGTAGGTGTCATTGATGATTTATGCTTCCTTGTTTTTCCCTTCAATGACCAGTATAAACTCAGTCTTGTAAAATCTCTTGATTGACTTAAGAAGATGAAGGCCCCAGTCAGTTCCACTGATGCATTCTGTATACACACAACCTCATCTACATGTATCCTTGGCTTTTACCTCTAGCTACTGGATCGGCCTCCTCCAGTTCTCTAGCCTGACTTAGATGAGGCACTAAACCGCCTTTGTGTTTTTAGGGCCCCAATCATCCAGAGTCCCCATTCTGAGGTATAGAAAGTCATAAAACCCTTAAATTTGCTCTGTGGGGCAGGCGGCCTGCCCCTGTTTACACCATGGCTCTTTTTGGTTGTCTCCCTGCTCTCTCTCCTGCCCCGGTGGAATTCCTGTCAGGTTGAGTCTTTGTGCTGTGGTCCATTCCTGAGTTCTTCCAACAGGACCCTGTACTAGACTGTAGTCCAAATGCATTTGTAATACATGCTATTATCCAGGCATGATGCCACAGGCCTTTACTTCCAACACCGAGGAGGCAGAGACAGTTGGACCTCTGTGAGTTCAAAGCCAGCCTGGTGTATAAAGTGAGTTCCAGAACAGCTGGGACCGTTATGCAGAGAAAACCTGTCCCCCCCCCCCCAAAAAAAAAAGAAAGAAAGAAGAAAGAAAGAAAGAAAGAAAGAAAGAAAGAACCCATAAACAACCAAAACAACAACAACAAAAATAGAGAGAGTGAGAAAGGAAAGAAATACATGGTGTTACACCACAGTATGGCTTAGTATAGTTTGTATTATTTTCTATACCTTTAATTTCCTTGATGAATTTTTGGCTTAACTTCTGTGTGGAGCCTCTTTACTTCGTGGGCCAGAATGTCATTTTGTTTTGAATGTTTTGGGAGACTGTTTTTCTGGGACAGTGAAATTATAATCTTAAACACATGCTGCTTCTTTTACTTCATGTTGTACAGCCGTGAAGAGTGTCATGGAGGACCGGCCCCTGGTTTTCCATACTAAAATTAGGTCATCTGGTTATACATCAGCACCACAGTAAGTACCAGCCATCATGTCTCTTGTGTCAGTGGCAGAATAGACCTGCAAGCATACTACTGGGATGGGTTTAATGTGGACACTAATGTGTCCTGGGGTTCCCACCATGAATAGGGTGGTCAGGGACCTAAGTAGGATTGTAACGTAGGCTAGACCTCAGAATGTCACAGTCACCATAAGGGTAGCAGCTATACAGCTAGTACTTGTTAAATGCCTGCTGGCTGCTGACCTCTCTCAGCTCCTTGTGTTTGTGTCAAATTATAAGGTTGGGTGTGGTGAGTGAGAATATGGTGGGGTTGAAGTGGAGAAAGGTGTTACATCATTTGGATGTAGCCAACTAAGGCCTGACTAAACACCCTACATTTTTTTGAGCCTATTCACTCTCAGATTTGTGCCTCTCTCTCTCTCTCTCTCTCTCTCTCTCTCTCTCTCTCTCTCTCTCTCTGTGTGTGTGTGTGTGTGTGTGTGTGTGTGTGTGTGTGTGTCTGTGTGTCAGGGCATTAAAACTCAGGACATTTAAGATCTGAAGTAGCAAGTCTAATGGTGAGGCTACCTATAGACCAGGAAGCACAAAGCATCATGGCATAGGAGAAACTGCCTCAAAGTCTTCAAGAGCCTCAGGTCCTTCAAAGAGCCTCAGGTCCTTCAAGAGCCTCAGGTCCTTCAAAGGCAAATCTATTTTTCTCTCTAATGAGTCATACCATCCTTTAACAGAGGAGTCCCAGTTACCCACTGGCTCCCTTCACTTAGAGCAGGTGGCAGGGTTTTGGTGTCATGTATGTCTTCTCCCATTTGGTGTTCTCACTTAACCTTTCGTCTTATCCACCCACTCTGTCCTCAGCTTTGAGGCCCTGTGCAGGCCTTTTTTTTCCCCCCTGGGCCTCTGACCTAGGCCATCCTGTGTGCAGCTGTAGCTCTACCACCCTTACCTACCTCACTCTTTGTCTTTCCCCAGTGGCAATGAGTATGGATGCTGTTTCACTTCTTGTCTACTCTGTGTACGGGGTAGCACTTGGCTTCTCAAATCCTCAAGACACTCATGAGCAGATGGCAGGTAGATAAAAGGAGGGATGGCTAGGTGGAGAGATGGGTGGATGGGGAGAGAGAGCACTAGATGAAAAGATGAATAGATAGAAAGATGAAGCCACAGATGTGTCCCAGCAGTGGCCTACTAGTCACATAAACTCCAGGATAGCTATGACCACAGCCAATACAAAACCTTAAATCTACTTAAAACAACATGAGATTTTGGTATGCTGATCTTAAATTTGATTGCATAGTACAGTTTTGAGCATGAACTTCACAGATGACAAGAGAAGACACTTCCTGAGTGGATGCTGGTTGATCGGTGGATTGCGAATTGATGCCTTAGAAAAACAACGCAGCGTTTCCATCTGTGAGGTTGGGCGTGGATTCTGAGGATCCACACTGCAGGGTGGTAGTCCCGATGCTGCCCTGGGACTCTTAGTTGAGAAGCATTAGGTAGGTTGCCAGGGAGGAGGTGTGCGGCACTGTGACACATGTGAGTCAGGGTGAGTGACTGTTCGTGGTCTCCAGCTGAAAAATTATGTTAAGTTTGTATTTGTTCAGTTTTCCTTATAAAATGTAAATATATTAAGAAATTTAGGATTCTAATTGTTGAGAGCGATACATCCATATGTGTATATGTGTTTTCCTTCCAGTGTGACTATGTTTTCTCCAAAGACTAATATCAAGCATAATAGTAAAAGATCTTCAAAATGCAAGAACAATTACAAATGGTAAGTAATTGAGTGCATTTAATACGTAAAATTGAAGCGAATTAGAAGTACTCTTAAAGTGCTTTCATAATTTTTAAACAGATACAAGACTATAGACACATAAATATTAATACAAATATGTCATTGACATGCATCCTTTAAATCATAGATGGTTGTCTTGTTTTAGAAGTTTTTTGGACAGTCTGCTTTTTTATTAGGTAGTTAGTTTTGAAATAGTGAATTTTTGCTAAAATGCAGTTGTAGGAAAATACTGTGTCTGAGAGCTGCCCACCTCTGAGAAGCATTTCAGGTCACAGTGACGGCGGAGCAGGCAGCCACAGAGCTGATGCTGCTTCTGGTGGCCATTGCTGGTTTATTGACCCAGACATGCTACAAACATAGCCTGAATGTCTGTGCAAAGAGACTCTGGGCCTTGAGCTTGTCTCAGGCTGAACTTAAGATATGTAATGAAAAGAGAGATTGTGGGCTTCCTCACGTAACACTCATTTCTATGTACCCCACACCCACTGACTATTTTTACAGAAATGCTGCCCAGACACTCCCATAAGCCCACTGCAGGCACAAAGACCTAATACAAAGCCCGTTCATAACAAGCAGTGACACTCTGGAAAGCTGGCGTCATCTTTCACCAACAACAGCACTCAGGAGAGAGGATCCTGATTGTCACCCAGGCAGCCCAGTGGAGCTAGCCCTGGTGGCAGGAGTGTGGGCGTGACTGCAGGAAAACTGACCCCGCCACTAGTGTGCCATTGGGTGGCACGGTCACAAAGGTGATCCCCCACCCCAACCTCATCACCTCTGGCAGTCACCAGGCGCGAACAGGCCCTGTACCTCACCTGGGCAGCACAGTAAAGCTGGCCCTGGTTGAGGGGGTGTAGGTGAGCCAGCCCCAAGGACAGAGCAAGGGAGAGCCATGTTGAGGGATAGTTTGTGTACTGTGTACTCAGATGCTCATATATGTGGACACCCAAATGCACACACACACATACACACACACACACACACACACACACACACACACACACACACACACACTTAAAATAATTTTAAAAAGGAAATCTAGACTTAATGTAATAACATTCTGCCATTTGTAGCAAACTGAGTGATAACCGATGAATATTAAGCAAAATATGCCAGATGCAGAACCTCAAATACTATATGTTCTTGCTCATGTATAAGTCTGAAAATAAAATACAAAATGTTGACCTGGATTAGAATAGTGATGACTCTAGAGATGGTATAGTGAGAGCAGTAGATAAAAGCAGGTCAGTTTCATCAGGGATCGCTGTATATATGTGTTAAGCCACCACATTAAGCCCCTGTAATAGGTCCAACTGACAAAAGTCAATCACAAACACTCAATGTTCCAGTAAGCATTTCTGTAAAAAGTCAGTGGGTGTGGGGTACATAGAAATGAGTGTTACGTGAGGAAGCCCACAATCTCTCTTTTCATTACATATCTTAAGTTCAGCCTGAGACAAGCTCAAGGCCCAGAGTCTCTTTGCACAGACATTCAGGCTATGTTTGCAGCATGTCTGGGTCAATAAACCAGCAATGGCCACCAGAAGCAGCATAGAAGGTTAATTTGAGTCCTGTTGATCTCTAGTTAGGTGTGCAAAGTGCGTTTTTAACTTAAGGTATTTTCAGCGTATGATGGTTTAACATTATCAAGCCATGAATCCACTGTAAGTTGAAGAGTACCTGTAAGTAGTTTTATAATACCAACCCATAGTCTATGAAACGAGGGGCTTGGAAGTTGGCTTAGTGCCTAAGAGTGCTTGTCATGCAAATAAGAGGGCCTGAATTAGAATCCTTAACACCCACATAGAAGCTTGCATGTATGCCTCTAAGCATGATATTGAGGGAAGGAAACAGGAGGCTTCACTGAAGAATGACGCCTGAGGGTGACTTCTGGCCTCCTTGCAAATGCACACGCGTACTTGCCCCACACCTGTGTACCTGCACATGCTTATACTACACACAAACCTAGAAAGATACATGTCTTTGACAATATAGGATTCAGATTTGTTTTAAAGAGTTATCCATGATTGTGATATAAGAGTTTTTGTAGATTTTTTAGTTTTAACCATATAAAATGGTGTATCTAAGTAGAGGGAAATATACTTAAATTTTGGTTTATTTCTAATCTCTCTTGAAATTATTTCTTGGCTTTTACCATGACCTTCCTTAAAGTAGGGAGTACCCTTTGGAGAGCTTCCTACCCAGAAATCTCATCAGGCAAGTTGCTGTGGCCCAGGAGCCTGTGGCTGTGAGCTGTCTGCAGTTCTCAGGTAAGCCAAGCCTCTTGCTGGAGTCATTTTCCCTTACCTGCAGCTGGATTCTGTCCACTGTCCAGGTATGAATCTTGGCTGTATTGGTCAGGATTATGGAGAGGAACAGAACTGACAGAATGGAAGTATCTGCGTGGCTTGCAGACTAATCCAGCTAGCCCATCAATGTCTTATCTCCTGACTGAAGGGCCATGAATGAAGTAGTTGTTCAGTCTGTAAAGCTGGGTCTCTCAGCTGATCTTCTCAGCTGTGTTGAAATTCCAAAAAAGTGGGTAGTAATACCAGGAAAGCCTCAGCAGCGGGAAGGATGACCTTTCCAGTGAGGGACTAGTAGGCAAAAAGCAAATGCTTCCTTCTTTCATGTCCTTTTATGTGGGTTACCAACAGGTGTGACCTAGATTTAGGGTGGGTCTTTCTCCCTCACATGATCCAGTCCAGAAAACCCCAGAGGTGTGCGCAGCTGCTTGGGTTTTGGTTGACTCCAGATGTAGTCAAGTGGATAACAAAATAAGTCACCATGTTGGTCCTGGCGCTCCATAGCGTGGGGTGGGTCTGGAGCGATGTGCAGCTGAGTTGCACTTGGTGAGGCCATCACAGGGCACCCAGCCCCGCAGCACAGGAAGGGTGGTACAGACAGACTTTTCCCTTCAAGCAGGAGCCTGGAAAGATGGCTTTCCTTGGACAGATGCTAGAGATGTGGCCACAGGGGCATCCCAAGGTGGGCTTGGCACCGGCCTGGGCACTGTGTCCCTTCCTCAGGAGGACCATGTCTCATAGGGAAGAGCAGCTCTTGCCCCCCCCCCCCAGGTGCTGCTGTGTTCTCAAATGTACCTTCCTTCCCAGAGCTCTTCTGTGGTCTCTCATGTTTTTCTTGGTAGTGTCTGCAGGGAGTGGAGTGGCTGCTTGTGGGTGCCTGTGGCTTTGTGCAGGCAGTTTCAGATTGCCAGACTGCCCTTTCCTTTTTAGGTGTTTTTGGTGGGTCATCTAAAAGTTACAATGTATCACTCTAGCTTAACGAATTTTGATTTTCAGGAAATTATACACAAATGCCTTTTGAAAAATCTAATGCGCAGTGCTGTCAGTGGGTGTCTTTTGACATTTTCTGTATTTGCTTTTATGAAGTTGCACATTTGGTGAAGATCCCCCATCTTTGACCACTGTGAAAGTGCTTTTACTGACAGAAGCCCTGCAGCCTGGGGCTGAGCCTGGTCCCTTTTGTTTTTCTTCTGTGAACAGAAGGCTGCAACATTCCAGTTTCAGCTACTCTGTGAGATTTGGGGAGGGTAGTGTGAGGGTCCTGGTGAGGTATTGGTTCAGGCTCTGACGCTTCCCTTGGGAAGGTGGCATGTGAAAGGCCAGTGAGCCTTGCCAGGTGTTGTTTCAGACTCTTCACTGCCAGATAAAATGACTGTTTATCCGAATGGTCTCCACTTTGTCAGTTGATCAGTGGGATTCCCATGTTACGATTGTACATAACTGTTTATTTATTTTTTTAAACAGGGGATGGACAGCGGCTGGCCTGTGGCTTAGCTAACCACCTGTCCCTAGTCTTCAATGCCAGCCTTTCTGGAATACCTGCTGCCTTTTCAGGTATCCTTAATCTTGAGGGATGGGAAGTGTGTGTGTGTGGGTTGTGAATTTTGTGGACTGTGCTTGTCAGCAGCAGATGAAGCCAGTTTCCTTTACACAGGCTCAGTGGCAGGCTCGGCCTTCTGGAACAGGTCAGGTGGAGCCTATGATCTGCCCAGTGCACATGCTCAGTAAGACAAAGCAGCCAGCTATTGCCAGGGCTTTCATGGACAAAAGCCAAAGCATTCAAACAGTTTTGGGCAAGTTTACTCCTACAGGGGTGAAAGCATTCGAACAGTTTTGGGCATTCACTCCTACAGGGGTGAAATATGTTTAAGTTAATAGAAAGTCTTATTGAAAAGTACTTTGAAATGGAGTAGAGTTTGTGATGGATGTTTTAATACATTAAGCAGGGCAATAGCTTTTAAAAATGAGAGTAGCCATGTTAAGTTCCCAGTGTGCTAACTTCCTAACTGATATATAATTTCCCCTAGTTTTATAGTCAGGAATTCTAAGCTCTTCATTAGGATCCTGGAGCTGCTTGTTTAGAAACTTATCTTGCTAGGTATTTTTACTGAATACAAATATACACAAAAACAATTTGTCTTAAGTTCATCTGCCTTATATAGTCACTTGGGTAGCAGTGGGCACTCTTGAGTTGTGTCGTGATAGAGGCACAGACCTGGGTGTGAGCTAAAGTACTAGGAAGTTGATGGGGCCAGGAGCAGGTAAGTGCCTGCCTCCAATCAGAGATGCCCTGTGGCCCATGTTTATTGGGCCCCTCGCTTATCTTCGCTGTCTAGTCTGCATCAGGGTCCTTCAGTATCTAGGGTGGCTTGAAAGAGAGGGGCATGCTCTCCGTAGGTCTCTAGTCATCCATGCTGGTCTTGTCCCAGGAGTAGGAGCGGGAATGCCAGTGCCCAGCCTTGGGTGATGTGTTGAAGAACCAGGCTGGGGCTCTCTCTGCAGAGCATCTCTATATGACCCTGCCTTGTCCATTGCTTATGCTGGCTTTCAGATCAAGTGGGTGCAGTCTAGGTAGACAGCTGATGCTGTGGCTAGTGATGAGGATGAGGAGAGCACTCCAGCACTGAGGGCTTCATCAGTGGGAAACCTGCGCTCTGGTAGACTTGCCCCACCTGCTGCTCCTTTGTGTGATCCCATGCAGTGCCTGCACCTGTGGTTAGGAAGAGACATGGATCTAAGCATCCTTGTTTGGCATCTGAGGCTTGTGAGGGTGTTATTCCACAGCTGATAAAAGCGGTGTTTCCGAGGTCAGGAGGTAGAATTGTGTAGGACAGCTATTGAGCATGTATGTTGTCAGGTAAGAGTGCTCACAGGTGCCCTCCTCCAGGCACCTGTGAGCCAGAGCCGATTCTGGGGCCCTGTGCCTGTCAGGTGTGGTTTGTACTCAGTGACAGCACCACTGTGCTCTCTGCAGCACAGTCACAGCATCCTTTCCCCATTGCTTTTGATTGTTGTCAGGCCTGGGGAGTGCTTGAGACTTCATTGTTGTTTGTTTGAGTTTAATTAGTCCTTTAAGAATGTTGTAAAATGTATGTGATCATATTCACCCCCCTCTCCCAACTCTTCGTAGAGCCACCCCTTCCCTAACCACCCAACTCTGTGTTTTGTTTTTTTTTTTTTTTTAACCCATCAATTCCAATTTGTGTTGTCCATAAACTACTATATGTCTAGCTATGACATACTTTTGTATGCCTTTGCTTGACCCATTAGGGCCAGACCCTTAAGGGAAACTGACTCTCCCTCTCCCAGCAGCTGTCAGTTGCCAGTAGCTCTTCATGCCTACCCCTCCTCTCCATATTGGGATTTTGTCTGGTTTGGGCTTGCACAGGTCTTCTTCATGCTGTCAGAACTGTTGTGAGTTAATATGGCAACTGCCCTGCTCTACCTGGAAAACACTGTATCCTTGAAATCTTTGCAATCTTTGGCCCTTACAGCCTTTATGTTCCTTCTGATAAAATGACTCCCCTCCCTTGGGAAGGGTGTGATAAAGCTGGACAACACAAATGGCCTGTAATGTGTGTGTGGGGGGGATCTGTGGGACCCCAGTGGCCAACAACTCCAAAAGTGGTAAGCATTCTGGACACTGGGCTTTTTATTTGTTAGTGTATGGTATCTAGTAGGAGTTTGTCACATTATTATAAAGTAGCTCCGTTTAAATCCTTCTATATGTGTATGTATATTTTTCAAGAAGTTTTCACAGTTGGCCTCCATGTGCTTTCTCAAAGGTCTTTAGTGTTGGTTATCCCTCATAATCCATTATCTACTCTGCTTTCCCAGGCCCTATCCCTTCCCCTTTTGATTACTTCCCTTTACATTTTTATGTAATTCCATTCTGTATTTGCTCCATTGAAAGCACCACCTGTGGCTCCTTATTAATTTTCTGACTTCCATAGGAATTCCAGATGAAACACACATATATGAAAGGTCAAAGATAACATTCAAAAATTAGAGAAAACATGGAACACTTGTTTTTCTGGGTCTGGATGATTGTTTCCATTCCTTTCCATTTACCTGTGTATTCCATAATTTTGTTTTTCTTAAGAGATGAATATGCATAATATTATATTGTATAAACATACTACATTTTCATTGTACATAGATCAGATTGTAGACACCTAGGCTGTTTCCTTTTTTTTTTTTTTTTTTTTTTTTTTTTTTACTATTATGAATAGAGCAGTAGTGAACCTGAATGAGTATCTGTAGTAGGGTATAGAGTCCTTTGGGTATAGAATGCTATAGCTAGGTTATGTGTTACAGTTGTTTCCAGCTTTTTGAACAGCTTCCATGCAGATTTTCATAGTGCCCCACTTTACATTCCCATAAGCAATGAATAAATGTTCTTTGGGCATTTTTTTTAACTTTTATTAGTTACACTTTATTCACTTTGTAGCCCCCCATAAATCCCTCTCCCTCTCCTCCTAGTCCCACCCTCCCTCCCCCTTCTTCATGCATCCCCCTCCCCAAGTCCACTGATAGGGGAGGTCCTCCTCTCCTTCCTTCTGATCTTAGTCTATCCAATCTCATCAGAAGTGGCTGCATTATCATCTTCTGTGGCCTGGTAAGGCTGCTCCCCCCTCAGGGGGAGGTGATCAAAGAGCAGGCCAATCAGTTTATGTCAGAGGCAGTCCCTCTTCCCATTACTATGGAACCCACTTGGACACTGAACTGCCATGGGCTACATCTGTGCAGGGGTTCTAGGTTATTTCCATGCATGGTACTTGGTTGGAGTATGAGTCTCTGCAAAGTCCCCTGTGTTCAAATTTTCTGGTTCTGTTGCTCTCCTTGTGGAGTTCCTGTTCTCTCCAGATCTTACTATTTTCCACTTCTTACATAAGATTCCATGCACTCTGCCTAACAGTTGGCCATTTTTACAAAAGGGATCTTTGCACTTTTGTGAAAAATGCCAGAAGTCTACACAAGAGGGCAGCAAAGCCATTTGACATAATTTTTTCTGCTTTGTAACTTTGGCTCTGTTTTGAGGTCCTGTTTCAGAGCAGCCTCCTGCTTACAACTTTCCTGGCTTTCCATTTCTGTTTCGGTGGCTCTGCCGGTACCAATTCACTGACTGCCCTTCCAGTTGCAGTGTGCAGATCCCCCACTGAGACCAGGCGGGGTGGGAGGTTCCTGTTAGCTAGATTCTTGTTGAAGTTGTGGTTCCTTGCTCGGCAGTTTTCACTGCACAGCACCCTGGGGTGGATGAAATGCGATGGTTCAGCACGCCGAGGTCACTGATGTCCTGTGCATGTGTGACACTGTGCAGCCTCCAGCTTCCTGTCTGCCTGTGTCTACTGCTTCTCCCAGGGAAGCTCACGATGCAGCCTCCAAGTCTCTGCTTCTGTGAACCCTCAGGCTCTTGTGTCTTTCAGAGACTCTGATAGCTGTGATTTCAGGTTTGCTTTGTAGAGACTATAAGGGCAAAGATGGGGTTAGGAGATAGCCTGTTCCTTATAAGAAAGGGATTGAGGGGTAGGGACTGCATAGCTGAAAGATTGGGTAAGCACTGTCCCATCTGCCCATGGGTTCCCTAGCAGGTATTGCTCAGAGGTATGCTGGCCACCTGTATAGGCCAGCATCCAGAGCAGCTATTGGCCAGAGCAAACCAGGAGAGTACGTCCAAGCTTCCTCAGTGAATTCTTCTATTTTCTTCCTCTAAAAGAAAAGGCTCTTTAAATAGCACAGACTACCACAGGGTCTAGATCTCTGCTCTTGCTGCTAGAGCACCACTTCTTACGCTGTTGTATTAGATCTTCCTCCAGTCTGGGCACTGGAGTTAGAACTTTATCTTTAAGAAAGGTGAAATATTAGAGGCCTTTTGTGTAGGGCTATTTGACACTGGGCCTGCTCTTTTAGCTCCACAACAAGAAACAGCCTTCTTTACTCCCTGGTCTGTTCTGGTACAGGCAGACATTCTCCTTGGTTCTCCATTTTTCCTGAATAGGTCATGATGGAGCTGTGAGCACTGTCTGCTGGAGCCATGACATGAGGTGGCTGCTGTCTACAGGCCGAGACCGGACCCTGAGGGTGTGGTCAGCTCACAGGACAGAACTCATGCTGCTTTTGGTAATGTGTACATGAGCACACGTATCACGGTGGTTAGCAGTCAGACACACCGCTTAGTGATCCTGAGCTGTGGACAGTCACAGCTATTTGCCTCTCTTTAGGGGAGACCAGCAACAAATACAATGAGGAGCTGTTTCACTACAGTGGAAACATGATGGTCGGACAGTTTCGTGCATTCATGCACACATGAAATGCATGCATATGTAACACATGTTAACACATTCTTGGTGTGTGATATATACATTGACAAATACATTCAGTATGTATTTATATTTGTTATGGTATGAAAATGAGAAAAATACCCTTGATAAAACATGGATAACTTTACATGTTAGTTCACATTATATCATAGAGGTAATAATAATGGCGAAGAGGCTATTGTGTGAAGGAGCGCAATGACTGGCTTAAATGAATGTATGTAAGGTTATTTGGAAAGAGAATGAGAAAGGAGAGGCAGACAGAGCACACAAATCTTACTATTAGGTAGAAAGAAGAGAGGATGCTAAGAGACCCTGCTTCTCCTCATGAATTATGACCTGATGAACTGTGAACATAACCCAGAAGTGGTGAGCATTTCAGAAAAGCCAAAGACAGACTGAGTCTGGATATTTTGACTTCTAATATTTAAACATAACACTTTATGAAAGCAATAGAAGTTGTACTTTGAAGTTTGGCCTTTTCCTGGCCTAGTGACAATGGTCTCGCTGGTGAGCTGCACATGCTCAGTTGGTCTTCTGGCCCACACACTACAGGATCTGGACATTAAGCTGTGATGCTGGGTGATTGGCTAGGCATAGAGAGCATTGCCAACTGCCACAGGCAGATGTCCTCTCACGGGTCACCCCTTTGGGAAGGGCAAAGAACAGATGGGCTGGCAGGGTCAGTACCCCATCCAAGGTTCTCGGAGGAAAGAATGCCCTGTAGCAGGCTCTTCGGGGGTCTCTGGCTGGGCCAGACTGTCATGAGACACAAAGTTGCTCTTCCTTTAAAATTAAAGACAAGGCTCTTTAAAATACTAGTAATTATCATAGGGTCCTGAGATCTGTGTACTCTCCCTTAGAGCACTGATTCTTAGAATTGTGTTTCAAATCGTGTTCTCAACTTCAACACTAGTGATATCCTTGATAGTCAGTGTTTCACTTACCCCCATTTTCCAATTTTCTGAACTGTGTAGCACAAGACTGTAACTCCTGCTTATGGAGGCCGAGGGAGTATGAGTCTCAGAGTGATTTTGAGGCCAGCATGTAGTAAGATCCTGTCTCAAAATTCCCTTATCGCCAAATTTTTAATTTTTTTTTAATTTTTTCTTTTCAAATAAGCTTTGACAATGGCCAGGAAGCAAAGTCAGCATGGCAAGTTGGCTGTGACAAGACATATGGCCAAGATGAGGACAGCGCGTGAGGGGGTGCTGGGGAGAGACTGTGCTAGGTGCTGAGGAGTTCTCACAGCTGCTCTGCTTCACAGGCTCCAGAGTCTTTGCCCAAGCCAGTAACAGCTGCACAGTTCTACTACCTGGATTCTTTCATACTGTTGTCTTCGGGCCCTGAATTTTGGCTACTAAAGTACCACATTGACCTCTGTAGGGATGACATACGAAGGTAGGTGGCCTCCCTATCTACTAGCCTTTACTGCTCCTACCCCAAAGAGCCAACCTCATTTCTCACTTCATTTATAGAGACATGAGCTTTAAAATCTTAACTTAAAAAAAAAAACAACTTTTGGAAGCAGGTAGTATTAGTTGTTAGTTTTTCAGTTTCCTGGCCTTGGCATACGTTTTTTTCCTTTTCTTCGCTCTCTCTCTCTCTCTCTCTCTCTCTCTCTCTCTCTCTCTCGATTTAAAAATCACATCTCTCTTTGCTCTTACTGTCTTGTTCATTCATTTTGCCCTTAACCCACCACTTTGTCACTCCACAAGCAGGAGTTAGTGTAGTCTTGCAAGAAGAGTTCTGAGGGCATGTCTGCCTTTGCCTCTGTATTCCTCTCTTCTTTAATTATCTTAAGGAAATAGTCATGGACAAATGGAAAGATGAATAAAAGGTGTGTGTTAAGTAGCTGCTATAACGTAGAAACACTGGGAAATTTAATTTTGGATAGTTAAACAGTGGTATTCACATTCTGTAATTCAATGCAAACATTGATATGTTACTTAGAAGACTATAATAATAATGAGAGGTTTTTGATACTTAAAATAAGGTTGTATATTAAAATGTCTGGCAGAATATGCATCACAATGTTTACTTAAGTAATTGTGTTTTGTTTTCCTTCTGTATTTACCACCTTATACAATAAAACCTATTTTACTTTTGTTATCAGTAGAAAGTTGTTAAAAGCATAGGTAAAAATGTATCCTGGTGAATGATTTACATCTGCATGTTGAAATTCATCAAATTTCTTGCATGTCAGCAACTGTATTTTTGCTTCCCTGTTAGTCATTGTAGGCAGGACACATCATTTCATCATAGCAGGGTGAAATGACCCAAGTTAAAGTGAGGACCTACTAATTGCCTGCTGTACACCTTGAACTCATCTGGTGGGCCAGACTTGCAATGTGAGAACCATTTTGCATTGTTCGGGTCCAGTGTGGAGCCTAACCCAACCCACTTCTTTCACCCCCCTCACCATCAGCCTACCCATCCCACCCACCATATCCCGTTTACCCTCTTCTATCCTTCCCATTCCATCCTGCCCAACCCTGTCTCACTAATCTCCCTCCCCCCTCCCTCCCAGCCTTCCTCATTCCATTCACTCCAACCCATCCCATCCCCAAGCAGAAAGCACTAGCTGCTGTGATTGGCAGCTCCTGTCAGGAACCTTAGATGTTAACATAGGTGAAGAGGGTCCCAACAAGGACTTCCAGTCATTGGTGAACTGCTCTGTGTAACACATCTTTGTCTCTGAAGTCACCAGTGCTTATTTTTTCTGTGATTACCACTGTATGCACTGGTCTAGCCAGAACTTTACTCATGGTCTGAATTGACTTTTTTTCCCCTCACCAGTGTTTACCTAGTTAGGGTAGACATAGGCTTAGAATAAATAATTGTATGGATTGGTTGGTGGCAATGAAACCTGGGGGAGAGAGCTTCTGAAAGGTATGTTTTTACTTCTGGAGGATGATTGAGGCTGATGACTGTGCTTGTGCTGGGTCACCTACCTGGCCTTCTGTCAGGTTCTTTTTTCTTCTCTATACCTCTGCCTAGCTAGCTTTCTGGAAAGTCTTCCCTCATCCTTCTGTTTTCTAGTTTTAACACATTTTCTAGATAAAATGACTTCTCTCTCAGCCATCCTTCTGTGTAGCTGTAAGCCAGCAATTTTCAACCTCTGGGTTGTGACCCCTTTGGCAAACCTCTATCTCCAAAATATTTACTTCATGATTCATCACAGTAGCAAAATTACAGTTATGAGTAGCAACAAAAATACTCTTATGGCTGGGGGTCACCGCAACATGAGGAACTGTGTGAAAGGGTCACAGCATTAGGAAGGTTGAGAACCACTGCTTCAAGCAGCTCCTCAGGGCCACCTGTGTGACTACCATCCTGCCTTTGAACATTTATTCTCAAGATTCCCTAGAGACTTGAGTGCACTCTGTTCCTTTCTCTCTTGGCTTCCTCTCTCACATCTCTTCAGGCCTGGGGCCTGTCTCTAGATTCTGTTGCTCTGAGACCCATTCAGAGTTCCGCAGCCTCAGATACAGTGCTCTTCCAGGCAGCAATGTTACCACCTGCTGAGAACACACCTGTCCTCCTCCTGGGCAGTCCAACTTCTGCCCCGGGCCTGGCTTTTCTCTTCCACCAGCCTGCCTATTCTGACATTGTTTCTGCCTTTTCCTCTCCAAGCTGTGCTCCAGCTGGGCTGAGACTCCTTCCGAGACTCCTTCCGGGGCTAGCTGACCCATTACTTTCCCTTAGGGATTATGTCTGTGATTAAGATTACACGTCCACTGAAGTAATGCCCAGTGCTCTGAAATAATAAGGACAATCTGTAGGATTAGATATCAACACTATGTAACTGGCTGAGTGCCTATGAGGGAATATATAGTTATTTTAGAATTAAGGGACGAACTTGCTATCTCATAGGAATGAGTTATTTTGGACTATAGAATATACTGTTGTTTTCACAGGACATTCCTAAGAAAAAAACAACCCTAGAATTTCTGATAGAAAATTAAATCAATTTCCCAAAGGAAGATTAAGGTGGCCTGTCATTCATTCCCTTAGTATAACATGATTGAGCAATACAAAGCCTTTATTCTCATTTTTATGATTATAAATGTAGAGTGTTTAGTTGTAGTCAGAAGAAAAAACATTGGTCATCTCCTCACCCCTTTCTTCTAGGTATAAACCAAAAAGCAGGTATAAGCCTATTTTCAGGCTCCCATTGACCGGTGGTGCGGACGTGACCAGCCTGTCAGCAGTGAACGACTTTTATTCCTGTATCCTTCCTCCGAGCCTGTTGACGTGCACTGACCATGACCATTGCTTTCTAGAAGAGCCCCTTCTGGGCGTCTGAGAAGCCCCAGGCATTCTGCTGGGCATAAAGGTCGGAATAAATAGTTCTGCCTTGGAACATGAGCTCTTTCGGAGTAATTGTAGGTAGAGTAATCTTGTCTTAATAGCAAGAAGTCCCTCTGAGGAAGAACAGTCTGGGCTATGACATAGCAGGGCGAGTTCACTGGACTCGTCCGTATTTACTGATAATGCATAGTCAGTTAGTGCATTTTCTCAGCACACTGTCACACTTGCACTGGACTGGCAAAACTCACAGCAGCTGCTGTTTGACAGAGCATGATGCTGGCTCCACAAGAGGCTGTGGAGCCTCAGATGAGTGCCCCCCATGCAGCGGGGCACTCATCTTTGGCTCACACTGTGATTCCATTCACTGGCGATGTCTCCACTACCCTTGTACCACGTGCTCTCCTGCTCACAGTGAACCTGCTGCCCCTTCTGCTGCCCAGCTGGGACCTATTTCCTTTGGAACTTTAGAATTAGCCACTTCTGAGTCTTACGGAGTTCCTTTGTTTGTTTGTTTGTTTGTTTGCTTGTTTGTTTGAATAAAGTGGGTAGAATGGTGTGCTCATAGGTGAGGCTGCTGAGACGCTCCCTTGACTGGCTTGCTGCAGACATCATCCTCACAGCTGGCCGGGACCGGACTGTGGAAGTTTTTGACCTGAATGCCGGCTGCAGCGCTGCAGTGCTAGCTGAAGTCCACTCACGGCCCGTCCACCAAATTTGTCAAAATAAAGTGAGCTTGCAGATAGTATGATTAAAAACTATTCCCTTAAAGTGTTTAACAGTTATAAATGTATTATGATGCAACTTTGTAAGTCCTACCACACCCAATATTAGCTTTTCCTGATCATCCAACAATGCTAAAGGTTTGTCTGTGGCTATAGATCTCTCAAAGACTTTTTTTTTTTTTTAAGTATCTTAAAATTATGTCTGTCTGTATCTGTGTGTGGACTCTAGTGTCCTTGGAGGCCAAAGGCATTGAATTTTCCTGGAGCTAGAGTTAAAGGAGCTTGGTTACACTGTGTGGGTCATTGGAACCAAGCTTGGGCTCTCCAGAAGGGCAGTACGTGGGCCTTACCTTCAGCCGCTGCAGATGTCTTAATAACATTGGCTTTGACCATTTGTTCTTTGTCTTGATTAATTGTGGATCCATGTGACTGTCTGTGACAAGCAGCACATTCTCCCTGAAGCTGGGCTAGCTCCAGACGCACATGCAGTGGTGGGAATGAATGGCAGTCTCTGAGTCCCAATTTCTCCCTGAGCTGTTGGACACAGTTGTCCTCTTTGATATGCTGTGGTCTTTAAAGATGTTCTCCTCTACATTGAAGTCTGGGGTTGACAGTAAATGGGCTAAGTCCTCTCTTAGTTAGGTTTCTACTGCTTTTGTAAAATACCTGAGCCAAAAGCAACTTGGAGATAAAAGGTTTATTTCAGCTTGTAGTTTATAGTTCCATCATGGAGGAAAGCCAGGGCAGGTACTCAAGACAGGATCCCAGAGGCAGAAACTGATGCATACGCCATGGAGGAGTGCTGCTTACTGGTTTGCTTCCTCTTGCTCAGCCGTCTTACACAACTCAGGGCCACCTGCCCAAAGTGGCACCACCCACAGGGGCTGGACCATCCCACATTAATTATCAGTCAAGAAAATGCCCCACAGACTTGCCTACTGGCAGCCTGATGGAGGCGCTTTTTTTTTTTTTAAGTGGAGGTTCTTTTTCCCAGATAGTTTGTGTCAAGATGATAAAACAAAACTAAATAACAACAAAACAACCAGCTAGGATAGTACCAAAGTGACTCATTACCTAAAGGCCATCTAAGACAAGGAAAAGGCTGATCTTAAAAAGATCTGTATTTATATATGATATATATGTATGTGTTTGCATGTGAATGCATGCCTATACACTCATGTACACACATGTGGTGAGAGGAAAACCTTGAGTGGCAGTCCTTGCCTTCCACTGTACTTGATACAGGGCCTCTCTGTTGTTTGTCATGCACTGTGTACTTCAGGCTAGTTGGCCTGCTACGAGGAGATCTGATTCCATTTCGCCATTGGAGTGATGAGATTCCCAGTGGCTGTCATCATGTCCAGGTCATGGACCTCAGAGATCTGAACTCAGGCACTCATACTTGCACAGCAAGCAGCTTCACCACTGAACCCTCTTCCTGGTACTTGGTTTTTGTTTTGTTTTGTTTTTGACTAAAGACTTGATTTTATTTTTGAGACCATACCTTACTGAGTAGTGGAATTTGCAGTCTTTCAGTGCTAGGGTTGGAATACTTCCCCATGAGTTACTGGCCAAAAGGTCTCAGAGGCTCCCGGATAACCCTGGGGGCTTCGCTTTGTTGTTATTGTTGTTGCCATTGCTCTTGATGGTGAAGACACTGCACACTATGCTTGTAGGACATTGATGAACCAAACTAGAACTATCCTGGACACTAACCTCCTGCTGAACATCTGTCACAGTAGGTACTTTGCAGGCCACCTCTCTAGTAGTGGACCCTGCATGTTATCTCGTGGACCCACTGCATAAGATGTACCCCCGTGCAATAGTGGGCATGATTGCTATGGGAGTGACCAACTGCTTTCTGGTTGGATTTGAAGCCTGCTTTACAGGAAGGAATGAGAGTCCTGGTACTAGAAACCTGGTCACCAAAGCCCATGGCTCAGAATGTCGCAGGCTCCAGGGGAAACGGAAAACTACTAAGGTCATTTTGTTTAAAATAGATGTGTTTTTGAAGTGCCTTCTAAATATTTATGTTTGTTCAGAGAAGCTTTTTTTTTTTTTTTTAAATGGGCTATAGTCAGCATAGACTCAGAGTTGGTCATAATGCTAAGAATAAGAGACAATTGAGTATTCACTCCTAAATAAGATATCTATATCAGATCTTTCCCCTCCTGCCCCAAAGGCCCAGGGGACCTTCTGAAAAAGGGAATGGAAAGGATGTAAGAGCTGGAGGATAGGGAGTTGTGCTGTGAGATGCTGTGCTCTGGACGTGACATGGTCACTGCTTATAATAGTAGCTCTTGTTGCTCGCACAAGACCAACCAGTTAATATATTCCAGCATGGATGGGGGAGGGACATTTAAGGCGCTTCCCAAAATGGCTGCCGGAAGAAGTGGTGATTTTTCAGTGGGGTTGTAGCTGCTGATAGTTTGCCCATGCTGCAAAGAATGGCTGCAGAGCCATGTACACAGAACAGGTAGCACTAATTAGATTTAACACGATAAGAAAAACACGAAGGTGGAGGGGGAAGTATTGAGAAGGGTTGGGAGAAAGGAGGAGAGGGTTGGATATGTATACATGTAGGAATGAATACAAAATTTCTAAAAATGGCTCCAATTTCTTTAAGAGCTTCCTATTTATTTTTTTAGCCAAGACAAAAATAAGTGCTAGCCTACTTAACATGAACATTTTCAGTAGTTCATGTCTTGATGACATTAGATTTTATTTCAATCTTGTGTTTAAAGTGGTCTTTTCTCACTCTTTAGATATTACATCCAATAGCTATGGGGTGGGAAGACAATTACATCTGTCTTTGTGACAAACTCTTACTTTCATACCCCCTCCTAGTCCCTTGGTTAAATTTGTGAGTGTTTATATCATCTCCTCCACCTTAATATTGGTATGTATCAATGTACGCATATATCCATGCATGTTTGTGAATATGTACATTCTTGTACACTGGTTATTAACTTAAAATACCTGTAGGTAGATACTCTGATTGCTGTTCTCCCTGTATATATAGGTATAAAGCAAGCAAGGCTCTTATGGCTGACAAATTCATACTCTCACCAGAAGAGTGTATAATCACACAGACTCAATCTCCATCTGATTAAACACATGTGGACAAAGGGTAGAGTAATTCAGGAGGTACCAGGAGTATGTTCAGAGGTCCAGAGTGCAGGAGGTGGAGATTGGTTTTATGCTCTTAGCTAATGTGGCAAAGCAAAGGGAGGAGACAGTGGATAATGACTGGAACAGAAACATTCCCTGGGTTGGTGGGCCCAGATCAGAACCTTGAGATTTACTCTGGAATGGTAGCAGCCATTGCAGAGTTGGAGTGTGGTCAGGTTCAGGCATGGGGTGTGTGCTTCTGGTTTGTACCAGCTGTGGACTTCAGGACCAGCTGTTGGAGTTTGGCTCAGCAATCAGACACTATGGCAAGGATGTTAGAGGGAGTGTGGAGAAACTGAGAGGGCGTGCAGTGACTGAACCTTGCATCTCTCTTCCTTTGGGGTGGAATCTGGGCTTGTTGTTTGCACAGGGAGTTGCCCCCTGAGGTAGAGCAGAACGGCCACTGCTGAGTGGGAAGGTGTGTGGATTACTAGGCCTCACCTGGGGGCCTGGGCCTGCTGTTACCTGGTTGCCTCTTAGCCACTGCTTGCTCTCTGCAGTCTGCCCAGAGGTGTTGGAGTAACAATTTTGATGTGTCTGCTCTCCCTGTTTGTGTCAGGAGCCTGGCATGCCAGAAAGACAGGGAGTGCTTATGCACGCCATGATCATGAGGTCCTGCTTCTTGGCTTACATGCTGTGCTGTGACACAGGGAATCCTGCCTCTAGCTTCCCTACTCTCCCACGTTGACCAGCACTTTTTACCCTGGCAGAAGCAGTTCAGTTCTCCACAAACAGTGGAACCCACTGCTTCATTTCCCATGCATAGAGTTAGGATCGCCTTGACTCTTGCAGTATCAACTGGCACCGCTCTCTACCCTTGGGTAGTGCCACAGGCCTACCCTTTTCACCCACCCCCCAAGCCTGCCTCCTCCCAGCTAAGAGGGTCCACCAGGAGCTGAGTAGGCCCTTCCTCAAATCCCCCAAGCCATACTCAGTCTGATGCTTGTGCCTCCTCTGTTCACGGTTCCACCATGGTTCTTGTGACAGGGCTGAGGTAGGGACAACAGGCTGTGGGCGGGGGACCAGTGTTAGGGAAACTGCTGCTGCTCTGCAGGCAGATCCAGTGCTGGCCCAGGAAGGCAGTGTGCTCTCCATTCAGTGTGTCATCAGAGAGGAGAGAAAGCCTGAAGATGATGTTCTTTCTTAAGCACACCGGGACAGCAGCAGGTTCTCTAAAGTAACATTGTGTTGACATCAGTGTCAAAGTGGTTCTGAGGAGGTCTGGTGATTCTGCCCCATTTCACAGGGCAAACCTGAAAGCCACCAAGGTTATGGCTTGAGGCATTCCTTTCTCTTAGGAATCTTCCCATTGAGCATGTCTGCCTGAGGCTTGAAGTGCAATTGCATGGTCTCTGTGCAGTGACTGCAGTGTCCTCAAGTACTTACCCATGTGGTTTTGTGGGCTGTCAGTTCTTTGAGAGCCACTGTGGTATGCTCATAGATGTGTTAGGAAAAGCAGTCCTTTTTTTAAATGGGGAAACAACTGGCTTAACTTCCCCAAAACAAACATCTGATGGCTATGGGATGGAATGTGAGGAAAGAGTATGAGATCACAGAGGCTCGCCCATGCTTAGTGGCTTGTTTTCTGAAGATGCCTCTTATATTTTTGTGCATGGATAGAGAACATGTCAGAGCAGTGAGACTCACCACAGCCACGTGGGTGTTGTGGCTTGTGCTGTCCTTCAAGGCCAAGCACAGAAGCATCTAGGGTATACTTGACCCAAATATCACATTCCAGTAAGTATAAAGTAGGTCACTTCTCACTTTGTGAAGCTTAGGACCCAAAGTGGCGCTCCAGTCAGTGCCAGTGAGGCCTCTCTTGAGTGTTCTGAGAATGTCCTCCAGCTGTTAAGCTGGACGGGCAGGGTCTAATCCATTGCTCTGTATTTAGAAGAATGTCTTGAACCCGGTTGATGGCCAACTTTTCAATTTCTATGTACTATCTCAATTTTTAGATAGAAAATATTGTCTTAAGGTTTATTGATATCTTTAAAATCACGTCAGATATTTCTTCTTTATTAAAAAAAAAAAACTTAAGTGTTCTGTTTCTTTAATGTTCCTATGGATAAAATACTGGCAATAGCAACTTAGGGGAAGAAAAGATTTATTTGTTGAGAGATCTCAGGGCAGGAACTGGTGTGTGAACCTGAAGGCAGGCCTGTTTATTACACACAGCCTTAACCCTTGGCCAGGGAACTCAGTCACTTAGCCAGGAAAGCCAGTAGGTGCTTTGATGGAGTAATTCTTGATGGATGCTAAGGAGTCTTATGCTTATGCCAGGACAACATGCCCAGTGAGTGGTACTGTCTACAGCAAGCTGGGCTGTCCTGTACCAATTAACAGTCAAGGCATGGCACAGACAGTCTGTTCTGGGCAATCCTTCAGTTGTGGGCTTGCTGTCAGATAACTCTGGGTTGAGTTAAAGTGAGCTTCACAGATATGAGGCAGGGAATAGACCACCGTGTGTCAAATTTCTTGACTATAAATGGGGGCTGAGTAGTTGTTTGCTAAAAGGATGAATAGCTAAAGAAGTGTGTAGAATTCTGTCTGGCACAATTAATCCTTAGAGTGCGGCTTCTTATCGCTGACTTAACATAAGTCTTCATTTCCTGTTTGAAAATGAAGAATGACTTTCATCTTACATTGAGTCTGTTATAATATTTCAGGTAATCCTGACATAGCAAGAGAATGGAAGTTTTATGAATTATAGCATGCTGAGGGAATGTTTTGAGCTTCATGGTTTCTCTGATGGTATTCAGTTGTTTTACACAGCTATTCTTCTTCTGGGGATCACAGATGTGACATGTGGGGTTCTGGGGTACAGAGTCATACATTCCATGACCAAGGCTCTCTTTCAGTGTATCTTAGTATGTTAACTGGCAAATAACTCTCAGTGTTCACTAAGGAGAGCATTGCAGTCCAGATCATTTATTGAATAAAGATTATGATCAATACTGAAAAAACAATGCTTGTGTGTAAACATCTTAGTCTTTTTTCTCTGTTGATGTTTTCTATTTCTGTGGCTCTCAGTGGCTTGAGTGTGGAGTAATCACACATTAATAATTAAGGTTAGAGTGTACTTGGTTAGTTACCTTACTAGATAGTGTTCAGCCTGGGGCTGTGTTCTAAGAATGAAATCATTAGTCACAGAGTACACTTACGTAGGCTGAGATGATTCAGCATCACCAGGCCATAGTCTTCGGAGGCCTGTGGCACGTGTACTCACTTACCTACTTGGGTTGCTCTGCTATTCATGGAGGTTTAGAGTCCTAGTCCAAAGCTATCCACTTAAGAAAGGTTATGTTGCTTTCAGGCTTTAGATTCCAGTATTGTTAGGTATTATTAGTCTTTACAAGTTTTTCTTGAGGTCTGTAAGATGGCTAAGCAGGTAAAGGCATTTGAGGTGAAGCCTGAGGATGATGTGAGTTTGATCCCAAGACCCCACATGATGGAAAGAGAACACCGACCGCAAGTTGTCAGAGGTCTGTCTCCACATGCACTGTAGTGCGGGCCCCCTCCCACATTAAATAAGTAAAATGTTTTTTGAAAGCTCATCTTGATTTTTCATTTTTCCCATCTGATGACAGGGATCATCCTTTACCACCCCGCAGTCCCTAGCGTACAATCTTTTCCTGACCACAGCTGTTGGTGATGGGGTTCGACTGTGGGACTTGAGGACCCTGAGGTAAGGCCATGCTCCATAACAGTGCTGCTGCCTGAGGGAAGTTGGAGATGAGCTAGGAATGCGACCTAGTCCTCGTTACAAATGATACAAGGCTGTGGATAGTGTAGGTAGGCTCCGGTGAAGACTGGCCTATTCACAGAGCCAGTGCAGTCACCTTGGGATGATGGAACCATTGAGTGCCAGGCTGTTCTCTGAGGGCCAATCACACATGGCTTCTGAGAGTCAGAGATGTGAGAAGCGGCAGGTACACTGTAGGTGCAGCCATCCCAGACACACTGTTGTGCTCGCATGGAACACCAGCCCTGGGCTCTCACAGCTCCACTTGCACTGACGGTACTTCACCTTGGCTACTTGATCTCCCTCTCTGAAGAAATTTCTACTGAAGCTTAACCTTCATCTTCTGAAAGTTACAGCATTACAAGCCATCGCTCCATTGCCTATGTAGTGTAATACAACTGACAGATGTTAACATATGTTCATAGTACGCAGATATTCAGAAGAAAACAATTAGCAGCGTGCTTGCTTTTTTCTTGGTCAGTAGTAGAAATATAAAAGTCCCACCCTACCTCGATTATATGGCATATGTGATACCTTGGCCTCGACATGCTCCGTGGTACCCACTAGGTATTGGCTATGCTTTTTGATGCTTTCTAAGGAAGACCCTGGCTACTCCTAAAAGGTGTTGGAGGTTCGCCCTTAAGAAAACTGCATAAATTCATTAACTTTTTTCCCTGAGGAAGTTTTATAGAGCACTGGATAAGTGATTGTAAAACTCAGTCCTCTTACTAGAATGCTGCACCTTCCCAAAAGCTTTGAGTTGTTTCTTTACATAATTTATGATTTTAGAAGATTTGTTTGAAAAACTTATAATAATCTATAGAAGGGCTTATTTAATATTTCCCATATATGAAGGTTCATTTGCTCTTATTTGTCATCTTTGAGGATTTATGATTTTTGAAAAGAGTTTAAATTATGTTAAAGGTATTTTTATTTACCATTTAATAGTCTTTAATTTGAAGTTTTTTTCAAGGATGTAGTTCAGTGATGGAGTGTTTTCCTAGCATATGAAAAAGCCATGGGTTTGATTCTCAACATCAGAGATATCAAGTTTTTTTTTTTTTCTTTTGGCTATTAGCTGATTCATTTTATAAAGGAAAACGTGTTGGTATCTTCTAATTTGTTTTAAGATGTAGCAACCATTTTCTGCTCAGATGTTTCTTTATCCCCTCCCAGGTGTGTGCGCCGCTTTGAAGGGCATCCAAACCGCTGTTATCCTTGTGGAGTTGCTTTCAGCCCTTGTGGAAGGCTCATGGCTTGTGGTGCAGAGGACAGACATGTATGTATGTGTGCTTGCTCTAATGTAGGATTTCTAGGCAGCGTTATCAAATAGACCTTCAGCACCATTAAGTCCTGGGGTAAAAATCTATTTCAAGCCTGATAGTATTTTAAGAGAATTACCCAGCATTAGAATTTCATACTAGTAAGCTGTGGCCATGAAAGGCTCATTTTTACTGAACCAAATACACACTTGTCATTCGTCATTCATTTCTTCCTTTATTAGTTATCAGAGACGCTGGGTACCTACTCCATGGACGACTGTAATGTGTGGTGTGGTATGACAGTGTGATGGCGTTAGTCCATACGGTGCAGCTCATGTGTAACAGTGTCCCGTATCTAGTGTGGGTTGCTTGGAGAACTGCGTGCTTCTCCCAGGGCAGCTGCTCCCCTTCCTCACCACCATTTGCTCCTTGCCAGAGCTGCATCTCCTGCAGACTTGGAACACAGAGATGTTACACTGTGCCAGGGCTGTGTCACACATTGCCACATGGCTGGAGGCCAAGCCCACAGAAGAGGCCAGCTCCCTCTTGAGGTCTTGGTGCTCCTTGGCTGCAGACTGTGCTGCCCCTTCCTCCTCCTCCCCTTGCACCTCTAATTGCTCTGTCCTCTGAGACGGCGCTTGTTGGGTTGGATTGAGAGCTTCTCTCCTAGAAAGTGTCCTCATTAAAACACCAAAAACCAAAAAGCAAGCACTACATTGAGAGTCACCTGAGGTAAAAAAATATGGTGGTACCCAAACAAAAGTCTGGCTGTGACCTGAGGGATGCTTATGTGGTGCGGGTGGGGGATAGTGAAGGTCTCCAGCACTCCTTGTTACACCCCAGCCCTCAACACCATTTCCAAAATGAGCTCAGGCTTCCCGGGGAGAAGACCACTGTCAGCAAGCAGGGCGTCAAGATAGCAAAATGCATGCATGGTCTGCTGATTCCTTGTCAAGGAGATGCAGATTAAGACCAGTGGTCACCAAAAGCATAGGGAAAAAAAAATGAATCGCCTAGAAAAAAAAAGACTTTCAGTTATGTGGCCCTTTCTTCATTGGAACTTTATTCATTTTTATTTGTTTTTCTGGAATACTGCCAAACTATTTTCAAAAACAATTGAAAGGTTTACTAGGACGCTCAGAAGGCTGACACATCGTTGACCACACTGCCATTCTTGTCTCATCACTTCCTACAAGCTCTTTGTAACCAACACTTTGCAGCCAGGCAACATAAGCTAAGAAAATGTGTTCTGAGGAGTTCACTAGTTGGCTTTGTATGTAGTGTTTTACATCACACTGCTTTGGCTTTTTAATTTTTTTTTTTTTTACAAGAATGCATGGTTGGCATTTAAGTATCATACAGTTCTACCACCAATGAAAGGCAGAGGTTGAGTGCTTTGGTTAGCCCTTTGTCAAATTGGAATGAAAGTGATGGGCATTCCTCTACTTTTCCAGTGACAGCATTTACAGCACTAGCCTCAACCTGCGGGTCGCACCTCCTTTGGGGATCACTTAACAGATATCCTGCATATTTGGATATTTATGTCACAGTTCATAACAGCAAAATCACAGTTATGAAGTAGCAAAAAAATAAATTTATAGTTGGGGGGTACCACAACATGAGGAACTGTATTAAACGGTCACAGTATTAGGAAGGTTGAGAACTTTTTTCCCATAAGTCACTTTTTGTCGTGGTATTTTATCACATCAACAGAGAAGTCACTGACACACATGGGGAGTGCAGCTGATTCTGGTAGAGACACTTCAGAGTCAATGACAGAAAACCATAAATAAGTCATATTCTACATTGAATGTACCCAGTTCTCTCAGGCTCATGGGAAGGACAATGTGACATCTCCTCCTTTATCATGGAACTTTAAAGTAAGGATGACATGCAAAGACTAAGCACCTTCCTCAAGTATCAGTCATCAATATGAATATTCATTCACACTGGAATATGAAGTTCAGAAGGAGTCACAGGGCCATGACAGAAGGCAGAGTATGTATGCATGTAGAGGTGAGATGGGAGGGGTTATGACAAGAAGTAGAAAGTATGCCTGCATTTAGGGTGAGAGGTACTTTGAAAATCAGTCCTGTGACTTGGTTGGCACCATGTAAGGCTCATTATCTGTCACTGTGTTCTGGGTCAGCCATAGACCATACTTGAGCCATGGTTTGGAGCTGGTCACCAACCCTGTCAGCCTAGAACATCTGCTTGTCTTGCCTCCTAGGCTTACGTGTATGAAATGGGCTCGAGCAGCTTTCTATACCGCCTTGCAGGACATACAGATACAATTGCTGAAGTGGCCTTCAACCCAGCAGCTCCTCAGGTACAGTCTCCTGTGTGATCAGGGCCTTTCCAGTTCACACCATCTCCCAGTGTGATTGGGGCCTCTCAGTTCATACTGCCTCCTAGTGTGATCAAGCCCTCTCCAGTTCACAGTCGCCAGCATGATTGGGGCCTCTCCGATCCATACCATATTATATAGCATGATTTGAAGATGATCAGAGTTTATCTTGAAGTCTTAAGGTATTTAAGAGTTCATGCAGCTGGGCACAGTACCTGCAATCCCAGCACTGCTGCAGGAGGGTCATCCTGAGCTATATAGCTGGCTCAGGGCCAGCCTGGGATGTATGAGAACCTGTCAGAGAGAGAGAGAGAGAGAGGGAGAGAGAGAGAGAGAGAGAGAGAACGCACACTATTACATGGTAGTTTTGAGTACCAACAGGAAATTAAGCAGCAAATTTACTGAGAGAGAGAAAGACCTAGAATTTTTTAATTGAAGTATTTGTAATTCAGTATGGAACTGCAGTATAGAATGCTGCATGTACTCACAGACAAGGTTCCGTGTAATCCAAATGTGAACACTGTAGACACAATCAGAAAGCAAGCAGGAGGCGGGTTTGAAAAGAAGTTCCATGCAGGGAGAGTACTGTAGACTGAAAACACACTGTCTTAATGAGAAGAAGCCATGAGGAAATCAGAGTTGCAAACCAGCTGTGTAGACAAATGAATGATCGAAACACGCAGAAGACTTAAAGGTATTCAGTTCTGCTAAATTTGAGTATTTGGGAACTTCAGTTTCATCTTGTCTTCTTATGACCAAAGCTTTGATTCAGAGACAGAATCATGTCACTGTGTGATTGTGTGCTTCGGCCTGCCCTGTGTAACAGCATTTTGTTAATCCATGCTTGTGGCTGACATTGTATTTCTGTGATTCTGGGCATGCTGCAGTGTCTGACACATTGCTGTCTTTGACACTAGATGTCCTGTCTAATGATGTAAGTCAGTAAAGCTTTCCCTGTGGATGCCAGAGGTCTGCAGCACTAAGATACTGGCGCTGTTGCCCAGTCACACCCAGTTTCTTTCCAGGCCCTGACTGATTTTATGGTCTGGCATGAGGGCATAGGTTAGCCACCTCCTTTTCTTTTGCTGTCATATTCACTTAAGCATTTGTCACTTTCTGATATGCACATAGATGTCCCTCTTTTTCCTGTTTCCTATGATTCTGTTATTTCTTTTGTTTACAAGCTACACCACTCTATTTGATTTAGAGTTGCTGTGTCCTCTTAATGAGTTGAGGCTATGTTATTATGAAGCATGTGCTTTTTAGCCATGATATACATACCTACTAAGGCAGTCATGCATATTTCTGTTAGTGTTGGGGTGATCTGCCCTTTTCATTGGCTTTTGTCATATACTGTATTTTGATTATTTTCTCTCTCCTTTGCCATCTCTTTCCAGCTCCTCTCCACCTGCACACCCTCCCAATGCTATGTACATTCTCTCTCTAAGGAAAAAAAAAAACCCTCCAAAATCAAAACAAACAAAACTTTAAAAAATTATTGAAAACAAAACAAACACACACACACACACACACACACACACACACCATGGAGTTTGTTTTTTGTGGCCAACTACTCCTGAGTCTGCCCTAAAGTGTGGCTGATAATGCCACTCAACTGGGAGAACAGGTTTTTCTTTCTCCAGCAAGTATCAATTGCAAAAATCAATTGCAGATAGCTTCTTGGTTAGGGGTGGGAGTTTGTGCCCACTGCTGCTCCATGCTGGGACTTTGGTTAGCAGGAAACTACAAGGGCCTTGTTTATACTGTTGCCGTCTTTGTGAGTGTGCATGCGTGTCAGTGCTGTTGTGTCTGAAAGATGTTATTTCCTTGGCGTCATTCAACTCCTCTGCCTCGTACAACCTTTCTGCCTCTTGGCATAGATCCCAGTTAGGGTTGAGTGTTCCAACGTCTTTCACTTTCTTCACATTGTCCAGTTGAGGGTCTCTGTTCATGACCATTGTTTGCAAGAAGAACTTCTCTGATAAGTGATACGCATGGGCTGGGCACCTGCCAACACTGCATCTGCATCTGACTGAGCCCTGAGCTCCTCAGCTCTGCAACTAGAGAGCCACAGGAGAGCAACCTTGGTACCACCACAGCTCCCGTGAGGACCAACCATCACCCAGCCTTCATGATATGCAGGCTTTACATCTCTGTTTGACCCTAGAAATTCCAGATCATGTGGGAGGTATGGTGACATGATTTATTCAATATTCTTAAGGCTATTTAGCATCTGTTTTCCATTTTTGGGGATCCCATAGGAACTCACTGTGAGCCTTTTGTGTCACCATTTGTGTGGATGTGTGTCTTCCTGAGTGTGCATGCTTGTTCAACCTCAGGGTATAGTGCAGTCAGTTTGAACAAAATGGCCATATAACTTGTTACCCATTGGTACTGGGTGAGGTTTCAACCTCCATACTCTTGGCTGTATTTGATTTTGTTAGTCTTTTAAACTTTAGCCATAGGGTTGTTTTTAATTTGCACTTATTTCACAGTGATACTGAACACTTATTTTTCATATATTCATAGATTGATTTTTAATTTTTATTATAGAATTGGAGAACTTTGAAAATGTCTTTTATGTTCTGATCATGTGCTATATGTATACACACACACACACACACATACACATTTATATGTATTGCAATGTTTTCATCAGTCTGTGGCTTGCATGTTTAGATTATAATGGTATTCTTTAGTAAACAGAGTTTTTAATTTTTAGGAAAATCAACTTTTACATTAATGGCTAGTATTTTCTACAGATTGTCTAAGAAGTCTTTGCTGACGCAAAGGCTGCGAAAATCATCTCTGATTTTCTTCCAGAAAATTGAGATTTCTAACTCATATTTTCATCTGCGATATAATCAAGTGTATTGGTATGTCTTCCTATATAATGATGTTGTAGAAACCTAATTCCTTGTGACACCCAACACTCACCTCTGTTATCCCTCTATCATGGGTCAGGTTTCTGGGTGAGGCTCTGCTGGTTCCTTAATTCTGAGACTCACTAGGTCTGAGCAGGAATATTAGCAGGGCTGTGTGTTCCTTTAAGCTTTACTGGCTTCTGCCTGAAAGGATAACCTTGCTTTCTCCTGATCTTGATGGGAAGGGTCCAAGTTGAGTGTAAGTTTTTTGTAGATGCTATTATGAAGTTAAAGAAGCTTCCTTAAAATTTTTTTCACTAGTTCCCTATTTATTTTTGAGACGAAATATTTTAAATTTTCTTAGGAGTTTTTTTCTGTGGAGCATATTGTATTTATTATTATATTTGTTATTGTTATTGTAAGTGTATTATATTTGTTACTGATTTTTAGTTTAATTTCATTGTATATGAGTAACCATTGTATATTTTTATTCTTCTAAACAGGTTGAAGAATGTTTTATAGCTCTGAATATTGTCTTTCTTGGTCAGTGTCCTGTGCAAGCTAGAGAACAATGTGTGTCATCCTGTGGTTACATGAGGCCGCCTATAAATGTCAACTCTATCTCGTTGATTAATGGCATTATTAGTTCAGCCAAGGCCTTACTAATGCTCTGCCTGCTGGATGTGCCCATTTCTGGTAGTGTCATGTTGAAGGGCCCAGCTATAATGGCAACTTATCTTTTTTCTCTGTGGTTTTCTCATTTTTTCTGTCTCGTGTAGTTTGAGGCTTTGTGAAGCACACACAGTTAAAGCTATTATTTGTTCTTAGAAAACCAATGAAATGTCTTTTTTTTTTTAATCTCTAATAATGTCCCTTGCTTTGAAATTTGTTGAGTCTGAAATGCATAGAGCTGGTCCTGGGCTGTTCTGTTAGTGCTAGCTTCACATATATTTTACAGTCCATTTATTTTTCACGTGTATGTGTGGATTTTAAGTGTGGATTCTTATAGGCAGTATACATTTAGCTTTTTTTGTGTCTTGTTTTTTGTTCCAAGTTTTGTTTTTTAATCTTTTTCTGCCTTTTGTAGCTTTAATTGAACATGATTCCATTTTCTCTCCTTTCTTAGCATATCAGCTTTAACTTTTAATTTTTAAGTCTTCACTCCTTTTGGCCTTTTGATGCTTATCCTAAAGTTTGCATTATACAGTTATAACTAACAGACATTTGTGACTAATTTTACATAATAGTAAACTAACTTATGGACACTGTGTATACATAGTAGCAAATCCTCATCCTTCCTCCATCCATTATATTTTCAGTCATTTCACTGACATATTTATTTAGATATATTCAAATGTATTGTTGCTCTTATTTTCAATAAAGCTGGTTTTTGTTTGTTTGTTTGTTTGTTTGTTTGTTTGCTTGTTTTTGCTAGGGAGAGAGGTTAGCTCAGTCAATGATTGGAGCTTTTATTTTTGTCTCCAGTTTCTCTCTCTGATGCTCATCTTTACTTGGATTTGAATTTCCAAACCATTTTCTTTCTGCTAAAAGAAAAGGACTTTAGAGAGAAAGGTTTGCTGGAAACAAACTCCTTCGGTTTTTCATCTGAGAATGTTTCACTTTTTCTTAGAGAATTTTACAAGGTACTGAATGAGGTACCTGCCCCCCTTTAATACCTGAAATGTTTCACTTCACTGTCTCCTTGCTTATCTACTTTCTGAGAATTGACTGTAATTTTTATGTTATTTTCTTTGTAGGTAATATACATTTTCTTTCTAGTTTGTTTTTTTTTTTTTTTTTTGGGGGGAGCAGGGAGAACTTTTCTTTTTCTTTCTTTCTTTTTTTTTTTTTTTGACTTTTCTTCATTTACTAAGTGCTGTTCCTCGCTGCAGTTTTGTTGGTGTTTATCCTGCATGAGTTCTCTGAGCTTTCTAACATGCTTTAGGGAAATTCTCAGTCCCTCTACTCGAATTACATCCTCTACTTCCTTCTATCTTTATTCTACGTGTTCCTACAACATATTAAATTCACAGAGCTTATGTTTCCCAACATTTATTCGGATCTTCTGTTCTAAATGTTTTTATTTCCAGCATTTATTTCTGGTTATTCATTGATTTT